AATCCTTGCTTCCTCTTTCATTGTACTTTTTTGATTTATGAGTTTGTCTCCTTGACTCATGCACTTACCCATGCTCCAGATGTCTGTCTTGAAGCCTTCATACGGGTCCCCGTCCAGGATCTCAGGGGCGGCATAAGCGTAGGAACCACAGCGTTGGGTCAACAAATCTCCTTCACTGGTGGGACAGGAGAAGCCAAAATCTGAAATTTGAATTAAACATATAAAATAATAAAACTTACCATTTTGTGTTTTTCTGCGACTTTCTTGTGTTTTGAGCTTCATCACACAGTTTCATTTATTTTATAAAATAAACAAGGCAATGTCTGAAAGACGAGACAGACAGGCGGACAGACAGACAGACATACGATTAAGCCAACAAAGATAACGAAAAAGGAAAAAAATCAACAAACAAGCATTTTACCTGTAAGTTTCACGTTGAGTTCTTCGTCCAAGAGTACATTTTCACATTTGATGTCCCGGTGGCATATGTAGTTGTCATGGCAATATTTTACGACATCAAGAATTTGCCGAAATATTCTTCTCGCCTCTTCCTCACTCAGGTAGCCGTGTTTCAATATATAATCCAGTAAATCGCCATTCTCCGCGAGCTCCATCACCAGGTATAGGTTGTTAACGCTCTCAGCTGCCTCGTACAGTTCAATCTGGTAAAAGTTATATTTGCCGTGTTTTCAAACATTGCTTTAAATGTTAAAATTCGACATTATGTTATGCGTGTCTTTTAAGAAATAGATTAAAAAAATTTAATGGGTTTTCGTGATGAGATTTAACAGTGTGTTAGTTTTTCAATTCTGTTTTCTTTCTTTTTTTCTCACCTTTATTTATTTAATTCGTTCATTCATTTTTGGCAGCAAAGTGCGATTATGTTTATTTATTCATCATAATTTTGTCATTTTTACATTAAAGAGAATTTTGCTATTTTTTCAAGAAAATGTAGAGGATCGCTCACTCATAACCTGCTTAACGGCTCCTTTCAAAACCAAAAAGTAATATTTTACCCACCTCAGGACTTCAGTATTTTCACGCCACATATTATATACTGTCTATATGAAGGCAGATGATAGGACGTGAAACAGTTACTTACCATACCCGGGTGCTCCAAATTTTGCATGATCGCCACCTCAGCATCCAAATATTCATCTTGCACTTCTGGCCTCAGCTTGTTCTTGTATATTATTTTGATGGCGACTTTCTTATTGGTTTTCTCGCAGTAAGCAAGCTTGATTTTTGAGAAAAGTCCATTGCCTATGGTTTTATCTAACTTATAGCCGTGCTTGACAATGCTGTATCTTGAATTGGCGTCTGGTTTCCAAGCTCCGCCCTTTTTCTTCTTCAAAACCACGGGTTCGTCTCTCAAGTCGAAAATGACTGGCGTCCAGGTTGCCATTATGCTCAGGTTTCTTCACGTCACTCAAGTGATTGAAAAAAATCCTCAAAATCTTACTTATCTACTGACAAGTTGGAAGATTTATAGAGCGTGTTTCCTGGTAGCGCCCTCCTGGTTGCATAAGCCCGCAGAAGAAAGACGTTGTCATGGCGTTCACATTATGGCGTCATAAATGTGCACGACGTAACTGAAAACTCGACATTAGAACGTCGCAGCAAAAGCTATAATTATAAAAAATATAAATATCTATTACAATGATCATTAAATATTTAAACCTTTTTTTTTCGTTTTTCTTTTCCCGTTAAAAATTCACCCACGACCCTTGAAGGTATTTATATCCATGGGCACGTCTTTTTATTGGAATCTAAAGATGTCTAGTTTATTAACCATTGGGAACCAACCTAATTCCAGCGTTTTTGAGGATGTTCAAAATTCGTTACCGCGCGTATACTAATTTTACCAAAGAATCTATGCCTCTTGTAGTGTGACAAACACGTTATGTGAAGTTACAAGCTTGGCTCTTGCGATTTAGAATCTTGGTAAGTTATTTTGTTTACAGCAGTTACGGTGCCTTGGACTGAACAGAGGTTGTTAATTAGATGAGATAATGTTCAAAAAGTTTTCAAATCTTAAAAGATGCAAGCTTACCATAACAAAGTCTTGGGCCGTTTAAACAAATGTCGACAAGCCAACCTTTGCAGGCGCTTTCCGTAACTCTACAACTCTGGGAAAATTAAAAAGGCCTATAAGCGTGGGTTTTTCATATTCCCCCATCATTTGGGGCAAGGAGTTAACTCTTTGACCCAGCTTGGAGCTCTGATATGTCTAGATGGCTGGCGAGGTTCGTCAGAATTACAAATAAATAGACCAGCATTTATCTGTTTAAATCATCAAAAAATATTACTTGCCTTTAGATAAGTTAATCAAGGAGTGGTTTGTGTACTTTTGAGTAAAACAAAAACTGTGTGCTGCCCCTTGAAAAGTGAAATGCCATCAGCCCAGATAGCATGGTAATAAACCATGCTGTTGCAACTGGGATGTCAATGCACCTTAACCAGGCCATTTCTTTATCTTAAACATTATCTGAATAAAAGCTTTAGGGCATAAAGCAAATGCCTTTAATGATATTTATGTCTCCTCATTAACCCAAGCGAAAGGATAAGTAAAGGACAAACACAAATATAGTGTTCGAAATTTGGCCAATAGCGGCTGCTTTTATTGAGAGGTCCCTAATATGCTACTGTCAGTAACTTACAGGTACATAAAAAGATATTAGAAAATAAAAATGGCATTTCTTCTGTCCACAGACTAACAACCCAGCTTAAATGCTTTTATTTCAAGAATACCATTCTTTGTCCATTCCCTTATGCAGAAACTTAACAATATAATTTAATTCAGTAATTTAAAAAATTATCATATTCAGATTTTCTTCAGAGTGTATAGTTCATTATGTTCATAGTTTCAAAATCCTTTCTTCTGTATAAATCTTACAGATGCTGATGCTTTATTTCTCTTTTTTAATGATTGACTTCTTTTTTCTGCAATTCTGACTTCATTTGCTTTCATCTGCCTGGAAAATAAAATATGTTTAAAATTTAGACAACCATGCGTATTGAAAAAATCATATATATGCTGAACTGACAACTGTAAACAAACTGAATACTGTCAATTTAAAGAACACCAATAATAACTGATACATAATAATTGCTCATATGTTGTATTTTGAAAACTTGAGCAAGTGCTGTATGCATCTGAGTTGCAAATCAAGTAAAATTTAAACTTTTTTTCTGTAACCCATAAAAGCTAGATTTAAAATAAATCTCTCTCTCTTTCTCACTCTCTCTCTTTCACACACACACACACACACACACACACACACACACACACACACACACATTGATATACATACTTTATAAGCTTTTTCATTATCTCCGCTTCAGATGGAGGAGGTGGATCAGGTACACCTGCAGTCCAAATCATCTTCCTTATCCTTTCCAAACAGTCTGCCTTGTTTAGATATTGTTTCCTAGTCTTGTCAGAACTGACTAACAGATAACCATCCTTTGTTATATTACTTTTCTCCTGTAAATAGAAGAAACAATATATCCTGTTTAATTACATTAAGCCATGATGTTAAAGCTTCCACCAATATTTCATGAAAGAAAGGATCCTTTATGCATGTACCCTAACATATCTACTCAAATAAAATTTTTGTCACATTCAAAAGGGTGAAATTTCAACCAATATAAACCACAAATGACACAGTCTTCCATATATATTACAGTGATAAAAACCAATACATGCTGCTCCCTCAACAAACTAATTCTACCTACCATTTCTTTTAGCCGTGGTCGGATCCAAGCTGGTATCCAATCAGCACTATTGATGTGAAACTTTGCTTGGACTTTGGAGTTCACTAAAATCAATAATAGAAATAAAATAATAACTGATTTTTCGGCATGCAAACATGCAACTTTCTTAGGAAGCAATGAATGAGTTTAAAAATCAATGTCACATTGTAAAAGTATTTATGCTCAAAATGTCAAAATCAATTGGTGCTTAATTCAAAAATATAATTAGTTCACTATCTTACTACTACAACAGACTGCATTCCCACAGATTTTAGATCCAATCTATCCCTGTGGGGAGTTTCACTACATTACTGTCAGCTTAGCCAGCTTAAATGTCTGTCCCGCCTACTGAAAGCTGCAAGGGGGTAATTATCTTCTGTGCACGCTCGGCTGACAGCATTTTGGTGTGAACCCAAGGGAGTAAGGTCGATCCAGATGGATCGATCTAAATCTGTGGGAATGCAGTCTTATTCATCATCTTATAACTTTAACCAGTTTTCATATCCTATGTTAGTTTATCTTTAACCATTTTCAACCTTCATGTTCGTCATCTTTACCTTTATTTACATGTTGTCCTCCAGGTCCACCACTGAGTGTATACTTAAATTCCAAACTGCCTGTGTCACAAAAAAGTACATATTTATATAATAATTTGCTGTGCAGCTTACAAATATAAACAAACAAGAATAACCATCCAATTTATTAAGTCATCAAAGGAAGTAGCATAACTGATTACAACAGTAAGTCACTGGATGACCTTGTGGTTAAAGCATCTTCCTCCAGAGCAGAAGGATGTTGCTTTGATTCAGTTGGGGATATACATGTGTATAGTACCAGTCTTTTATACACAGCACCTTATGTCTTTTTGTTTGGCACTCAATCAGCATTTAAAGGCTGAAGCAGGGTTACTAATAAGTACCTGGTCTAGTAATGAAGTATATTGTACAGCCATATTTTCTCCAGGGAGGTGAGAATTATCTACTTGTTTGAATCAGATCCACACATTTTATAAAGCATACCGAGATGCAGTGTCATGCAGTACATATATAATTTTTGACTTACTGTCCCTTAATTAATAACACATTTAGAAAGCACTTTACCTTCAGGAATATACCCATTAAATTCTTCTTGGGTCTCTGTTTCGGGCAATTCTTGAGAAGGTTCCTGAAATTTTAAAAGTTTGGAATTAGTCCATGAAAAGGGTTAAAATCTAATCGCAATCTCATCTTTACAAGTCCTATTCCACACTTTATTATCAATTTTATATTAAAAACAAGACAATCACTCAGAAAACTATTCATTTTATCCCAAAGACAAAAACAAAATTAAAGTTAGGGATCATGTTATCAGAATCCCACTGTGCCTTTGGGACCATTCTCACAGATATTTGGATCCATCTATCTCCCTGGGGAGTCTCACTAAATTGCGATTAACTTAACCAGTTTAAACATCTGTCATGCCTAGTAAAACTGTTAGGGGGCAATATTATAGCTGATTCGGTAGGCATGTGACAGACATTTAAGCCTCTTGAGCTGATAGCAATTTAGCGTGAACCCCCAAGGAGTTAGGTCTATCTAGATGGATCGATCAAGGTATGGGAACCCATTCTTGGAGACCGATCCCAGAGACTATCGTACTAACTTTGTGTCGAACTATCTTCAAGGGGATTCTCGCTTTTAAAATGCAATTAACTTGGATGGCTTAGATGACTGTCATGCCAGCTGAGGCTGATAGGCCCAGGGGGTAATTAACTATTGTTTAACAGCTTTAGTGGGCGTCCCAGACGTCAAAGCTGCATTTGTACCATGCACGATGACACTACTAGACTAGGTTCCATCATATAATGTTGGATCTCAGGTATGATATTTCTATTTAAATACATGTACATGTATACCGACCTTTGGGGGATAATATTCTTTACTCAATTCCCGAGTATCAGTGACATTAAAATCACTCTTTGGGTATAACGTGTCATAAGAGTAGCGGCTTTTGTATCCTGCTTTTCGGACAGTTATGCCTGCATCTCCGCGACTTGAGAGCGATATTCTGAGGAAGCATCGTGCTACCGTTGAAAACATTGTGCGCTAGCATCTACTCTTCTAATTTGAAGGATTGAAAAGAAAGTTTTAGTCTGGCTACGATTGCCGTAAACGAAAAGTCACATAATCATTACAATGACAGTATACATACCAACAGAAGTAAATTTCTCGATATATGAATTACGAATATTTTCATAGAAATAAGACTAATCTTCAATTTACCACATTATCTTTCTAATTTCGTTAGAATAAAATTAGTAATATGTGGTGTGATAAAGACGTGCTTTGAGGCCATTCTTCACAACTCGGGTAGCGTGGCCGAGCGGTCTAAGGCGCTGGTTTAAGGCACCAGTCTCTTCGGAGGCGTGGGTTCGAATCCCACCGCTGCCACATGTCTTTCTTTTTTCTTCGTTTCCTAGCCACCAGTTACTTGGTAGGTGAGATAGCCACAGAAGGCTCAGCATAGACATAGTACACTACGTATGTTCAGACACTTTTAAACATTTAAACTTTTAAACACTTTTAAACTTTTAAACATTCATATTTTGCTTTATTGGATGACATTTTAATGTAAATTTCAAATTAATTTATGTTTAAAATCTCACTGAAAAATTGCATCCAACTGTCATTTCAAGATTGGCCTCAGTTCATAGGAATGATCACGCTTTCTCATTATTTTCTTAACTGCTAAATTCAAAACCAAATCTCTAGTGCCACTATCATGCTAAACACTTCCTGATATCAAAATGAACATTTTTGAATATTCAAATTTATTTCCATTTACATATACAGAACATATTAAATTTAATGTCATTCAATCTGGTACTTGCTTTTTAATTATAAATAACAAAAAAGTTTTTAAAAATTTGACATAAATTGTAAATAAATTGCAATAATTTGTATATATAATTCTCTACTTCAATGAAAATATTAAACTTTTATTTCAGAACCTTAACTTTTCACAACCATTCACTTCGCAAAATCCATATTGCAGTCAGAGCATTCAGACCAGATGGTCCACATACTAACAGATCTGGGAACTAAATATGGGCGACCCAGCTACCAGACTCGGCACTGAATGATCCTGAAGTCATCGGTAGATTGGGTCACAATACCCAGTTTCAAGGTGTGTATCAGTACATGTACTGTACTTGCTTCGAAGCATCTGACGCGACACTGCTCTTGCCTAGTACGCGATGAGATAGTGATGATTCTCTGTGGTATTGGAAAGTAGTGCATCTCATCTCAAAATTTGTCAAAATTTGTCCTGGGGTATGATACAGTAAAATGTGTACTGATGTACACCTTGAAAACAGGTCATGAATTTTTATTGGATATGTGTTGGTCCACAATTTTAATGAAATGCCATTGAATAATATTTGTAAAATCAACAGTTTCTGAAATAATACCACAGGTCATTTGTCATTAATGTTCACATTTAGCAGCACTTACTGTATATCTACATTGGCACATACTTATATATTACGTAATTAATATGTAATACATACTACGATATGCATGAGAAATTCACATACTCCAATAACATAGCAATGCAAATAAGGAAAATATATTTATCTTAACAAAAGTTTAAACATATTATAATAATAAAGAGAATACATTTATTAAAATAAATCAATGAGGTATGTGATCAGGTAAGTCATTGTTGGACTTCCTAGTTGATGTCCACTAAATCTTACTACTCTGATGTTTTCCAATATATATGTAAATATTTGATATTACATATCAAGTTACATGGGTATCTAATTAAAATGTTTTTCATTATATGACAATATATTGTAATTAAAAAATATACACTTCATTAAAAAATTAAAGCTAATACACACTTGCTAAAAAATTAAAACAAAAAGGATATCCAAGATCTAGAAAATAAGCTTGTGATGAAAAGATTATAATGATTTCTAGCCACAACATTCACATTTCATAAATGAATTTAAAAAGGGGTTAATATATGTGTCTACAATGAATGAACGAGGCAAATTTGACCTTGGGGAAAAAAAGGGAAGTGTTTCTTTGGTGAAATCAATTTTACATGAAAAATTCTGAGCCAATAATTCACCCCATGTCTTTATATAATAATAATTCAAATAAAACAATGAAACATAATTTTACATAGAATATAAACACACACACATACACAAAAAAATCTTTCCAATCATTAACTCTAAATAAAAGTTTGCATTCCAATATCAGCTGCTTTTAAATGTGCAGTGAAAAAAATAAAACAAACCATTTTAGATAAAATGTCACTCAACCAAAATGTATTTCATCAATATCAGTCAGCTTCTTCCCAAATATTCTTTCTTCATATTCTGACAACTGCTTTAAAAAACCTAAGTTTGGACGAACAACATTTCTTGTATTCTTAAGCACTTTGTAGGCATCCATTAATGTCCAATGAAACTCTGTAATGAGATATGCAAGTATTACAGCAGAGCTTCGACTTACTCCCAAGTTACAATGGACTAGAACCTTGCCTTTACTTTGCTTGGCCTGTCTCATAAAGTCTGTTGCTTTAGGGAATATGTTGATTATGTTGGATCCCGGGTCATCTGTTACACGAACCTCAAAATATTGCATCCGAACTTTAAAAGGAGAAGGATGCTCCAGTCCCACATTAATGACATGAGTGATGCCAAGATCAGAGATGATTTTCTCATTTGTAGCATGCTGCCCAGCCCCCTGATACAGCCAATCTTCCAGGATCATGGAAGGATATGTGAAAAACATCTCCTCTCGCTGCAGTTCTGAAAAAATGATCTCATCAGTACATAAATAAGGGTGTTTAGTTAGCCATGCATCGAAGCCTCCCTCTAACACTTCTGGTTCAAAGTCTTTAAGTCTCATTTGTAACTGAGACATTGGACTTTCAGTGAGACAGTGTGTCCTTCCATCTTTGTCATACAGAATGATATGAACATACTTAGAGAAGTCACTGACCATCAGAGATTCACTGAGAACTGTGACATGAACAGCAGTGATGATATGAAGAGATTCATATTCTTCCTTTTCTCTTGTGTCTATAATCAAAACATAGTGTGGATCAAAAAGGTAAGGACTGGTGTGACCCTCCATCAACATATTGTAGAACTCCATGGTGCTCAGCATTCCAAGCTCTTTTCTTTGATTGACAGGGACTGGTACTGCCCCTCTTCCAGAAGTGGCATGGTCAGAGCCTGCCTCCTTACCAACTTCAGCAGACTCTCCATGCTCACCACTACTGGCTGATACAGTGATGAAGCATTTACAAACTTCTGAGGAAATGACAGAAGGCTCCCCCTCTTCAGAATTTACTAATGAAGGACATATCTTAGAATTTCTCCTCCCAAAATTTTGCCTTCTCCCAGCAGAGGAAGATTTGGCATTAACCTCCGAACTCTCAGCCCCACCTAAAAAAAATCATAAATAAATTAATAAAGCACATTAAAGGAATGCTTACATAAGATAATATTTTACTAAAGATTTTACTAGGCATAAAAACTAGCAGCTAAATATGATGTTTTTTTCTTTATGAAAAAAAAAAAAAAAAACTACAATTACATGTATGCAGTTAATTCCCAAATTAATCCTGTACTGGCAGCAGTAAAGTTCCTCTGGGAAATCTAAATATTGCCTAAGTTTGATCGATGAAAATAATTGACTTTGATCTTTAATAAATCAGAATCACATCCAATTTGTCTAGTTATTGATAAACCTCAAGAAATAACTACATAAAATATTCAAACATTTGCCAACACCATAACATTACTTAAGTATCACCCTGGAGCCAATATGACTATTTATCAACATCTTTTGCAAATAAAGCTTATGATAAAATATCTAAAAACAAACTGAATTTGTTTCTTGTACATTTACATACTAACCACAATATTCTACTGAAGAAAGAAAGAAAGAAAAAAAAAGAAAAAACAGATTCATTGAGTTATTAGGTTTAATAAAATAATAAGTGTGGCTAGGACAGGGAAAAATGACCCGTAAGCAGTGTCACAACAATAGTATCAGGCTGACATCAACAATTTTATTTAAAGGGATAACAACTCTTTGTATGAGATCCATACATGTACTTCACAATAAATATGTGGTAAACAACTCATAGGAATATAATAAATTTTATTTTACCACAAAATTGATAGAGATTTTTACAAAAATCCAAACCTTTGAGGAAAAGAAATCAAAAAAAAACTGGGACTAACTTTGAATGTTTGATCGGTTTCATGAATCATTGGTAAGTATGGGAAAGTTGTCAATTACCCCAGGAAGATTCATTTTTTGACCAAAATGAACAGTAACAGTTGTTATCCCTTAAAAGAATAATCAGTTCATCTGAAGTATCAGTTTTTGTGAAAGATTGTAAGGCAATCTTAAAGGCAGTTGTTTTCATTTCAGTATGTACATGTATTTTACATAGTAGAAATTTATGCATGATGCATAAGCAGACATATTTCCCTGTTCTATTTGTTGGGATTTGCACAGGAGTGGTGATGAGTGGAAAAATTATATGTTAAGTGAGGCACCTGCTGTTGAGGTCTCTGGTTAAAACCTACCTTCTGCACCCATGCTATCCTCATGGCCAACTATGAAGTTCTGATACTTGGCTGCTGGTTCTCCAGAATTCTAAAATACAAAATTATCAATTTAACAAATTGATGTCTAACTAATTTCAAATCAAATTCTACCATAAATTGCTTGATGCCTACTCAGATTTGACTTTAAAAAAAGAAAAACATGAATGCACATTCTTAAAACAAGAATGTTAATTACTTTGTCATCACCAGGTGTCAATGACCTCTCAACTCCTTCTCCAGATACATCTTCAATCTTAGTTGTTGCCTTTGAAACTTTGTGACCCATCAATGTCCAGATGAAACTGTACTGTACTCTTTTCGAGGTGATCCTAGTGTGAAGTTAGTTTTTCAACTGAAATACACTTTCTTGTGCCATGTGTTGCAACATAAGTGCCCTCAGTTCAATGTGATAAAATCCAGTTTCTTCTGTAACTGAAGTATAAAATCTCCTGTGTATACTGCTATATGCTTATGGCTACTTCCATTGCAGTGTGTAGCTTACATCAATTTATATTACTGTAACAGTGCTATTTGCCACATGTGAATCAGGAATCCATATATATTTGTTGTGTGATACTAAACTCCTTGATCACTTCTTAGAATTGTTTTCCAGATTTTTCTTCTGTTCATAATATGAATTTCCTTCAGTATCCTTTGAACATTTCTTGCACTAATGATGTAAGGTAAACTGCCTCCTGTCGAATTGAAATATTACTTCTATTTGAATGTGTTTGCCTTCTAATAATTCAGCTTCTCAATCAACCTCTAGAAAGCAATTTCAACCATTTGACTGTGCTGCAATGATACCTGTGTATAAACTCAGGCTCATTTGCCATAACTGAACAATATGGTAAGTAGATCTCTTCATCTCTGTTTTCAGTCTGACTTTTTCTTGATATCCCATATGCAATTGCTTTCAGTCTGTTTTTTCCTAATCTTCTGTTTTTTTCTGGATTGTAAAGCAAATGCGTATATAGCCTTTCAGAAGCTACTTGTAGGCTGCTTTAGGATTCTGATAGCCTGGTTGCATGACAAGGCCGATAGACCAAGTAGACTGGTGAATCACACTGGAATATTAGAAACATGCACTAAGTACACATATTATCGACAACTGTTACTGAACCAATAACTTGAGATAAGGAGTACTGTGCAATAAAACAGTACTAGTACTTCAACACTGAATGGATTGAAGGAACACCAAAAGAATGGCATGTTTTGTCCACTAATGCTATACAGCAGATTTTGCAAAGGGTGGGGTGGGGGAGGGAATGGGGTACATGGGTACATGTAACAATACATGAAACAAAATATATTTTGCCATTCTTTCTGAAGTGAAGCTTCAAGAAGAGTGCATATGTGTGTATGTGTGTGTGTGTGTACCAATATAGAAAAATGATTTGTCTTCATTAGTTTGAGGCATATAAAAGCAATCATTTCTTCTGTGGTGTGACTGCAGTGCACTTATGATGCATAGCTAAATGTTTTCTTTTCTATGTACAAGTACTTAATTATTACCACTAAAACAGAAAAACATATAAATGCATATTTAGAACATTATTTCACTTTCAAGTCTCTCCAATTATTTCACATGCACAAAGATAAAATCAAAATTTAGAAACATTAGATAACTAGAGAGGATCAGCAGACAGTTATGCCACTAATGTACTTCACTGGATTGACTGTGACATCCTATTGTCCTAGCAATTAAATCACCTCCATCCACTATTTTGTGGTATGAGAAGCAAGTGGGACCAATGCCAAGGACCAAATGACACATATTTTGCAAATTTCCCTCTGTTATATTTCCAAAACTGGCAGAGATACAATCATAGCTATAAGGGATCATAAAAAGTGTTGGAGGGTCTTGCACAACCTGACAAACTAGGTCATGCTGGCATGGAAACATACCACACAATCATAAACCTGATATGAAACTGATCTTGGCATTATATTGTAGAATTTTCTAAAGGTAAGGCATGTGCATTGTACAGTACCAATCTGCCATATGATTTCATTTAAATATCAAAATGGATGACAAAACATGATTTTAAAATAAATTTTAATCAAAATGAAATAAAATATTTTATATGAAATAGGTATTACAACAATTTCAATATTTGTTTCTGTTCATGAATGAACCTTATTCTAGATGAAATTTTAAATATTTTTTTTAAATGCTGAGAAGTGAGCATGTTTTTCTCAAGTCGGCCAATTTGAACTCACGCACAACACTATCTATGAGGGGGTAGTTCATTTTGTAGGGAAGTACTAGAAGTCAATTCTAAATGACACATACAATACAACAATGCTTAAACACATTAGAGGTTAGTGTATAGAGAAGCATCAGGAAAATCTCTTCAGACTATATGGCCCCCCAATGTTTCCCTAGCAAAAATATGTATGTTTTATGCATCAGTATTTTAATACTAATACACCACACTGTTACTACTGTATCTCAACATTTTAAATTGAAGATTATACATTTTTTCCACTTTTGGATCCAAATTTTTATGGTTATGGTTTTAAACTAAGAACCGAGTTTTATGTGTCACATTTTTACCAGTGGAGAGTAACAATGTGGCCTTTGTGGGGTAGTACACTGTATGGGGCCGTAGCGATAGTCCGAAGGTTCAATAGTCCGAAGGTTCATTGGTCCGAATGTTCACTATAGAACCTTCGGACCAATGAACCCTTGATTAAAAAATCGATGAAAATGTTACCACTTTTCGGACCAATGAACCTTCGAACCCAATGAACCTTCGGACTATCGAGACGCCCCCCACTGTATAATGCGGTAAGTAAAGCTGATCAAATTCTATCAAACTTCTCTAAGTCAGAAAAAAAAAAAGATAATAAGACCTAATAAAACTGATAGGGTCTCTGTGGTGGGTATTAAGAATGAAGTTGACAAGGCTGTTTGTTTAGTGGAGAGGTTATTTTAAAAGCCAAACAGTACTACAGCTACGAAAAAGCTTCTCCTTCTATGACCCTTGAAGTCTACACTGTAACACTATAGACCATATCATATTAGACCACTATAGACCGGTATTACAATACTAGTAATTTATTTTACTTCAGTTCAGACGTAACTATAGTAAGTTTCTTATATTCAAACATCGTTTAGGCTTAAACAATCTACCTGTGATTAGACATGGTTGCTTAATATTGCTATTGGTTCTCTTTGCACTGACAATAGTTTATATAGCATAGACATATGATAACGTATCGACTCTCCCTAAACGCGTGGTAATCTCTGAAGTAGACTAAAAGTTTGTTTGGGTCTCGCAAAATCTCGTTATTCGAATTATCGATAAAATTGACAAACAGTCACAATATAAAGATGTATATTATCCAATTTATCAAAAAGAAGAAGATAATAGGCTTATGGTGTCTAAATGCCACAAAAATGTGTTTTTCTTAATTTTTTGACGGTCCGGAATCTCCCAACGATCTGATCTGACATTTGATTGGTTGGTTTGTAAATTTACAGCTGGTTGTACACAGGGAAGGAGTATTCTAGTGTTTCTTGAATCGCAGGCAATTTTAGCATTGAATATTTCTTCTGTTGTGCTATCGGCAATGTCTAGGGTAAGTTTACAATATTATTGTAAACTGTATTTGTTAATTCTGTACTTAAACACGAATTTTATTTCAGTAAATTACAACAGCTGCAATAAATTCATGTTTAAAATTACTGCTGAGTTATTACCAGAATTGTCAGTCACCCAGCACAAACTCACTGGTTTCATGAAAATAATAACAGTTGTTTAAAGTTTAATGCATTTGTAAGAGCCTTCAACTAGTGAATGTATTAAATATAACATGACTGATATTGGTTTGATTTGATGTGTTTTGCCACATTTATATATTTGGATCATCTTTCCATGATGACAATATTAGCAACATTCAGATTTGGAGAAAAGAATAACATACAGTAATTGACAGGAGTAAGGAAAATGCTTGTCAGTGTCTTGTAATTGACATTTAGTAACTAATTACCAAAATTACCTTCTGTATATATAAAGGACTATCAGCTTGACCATTTATAAAACAGTTTCTATGCCCAAAAGTCCGTCCATTGTTGCCAGGCTTCATTAAGTAGGAGCATGCCTTTTAAAAACTCCAGTGAGACACCATGTGGTATCATAATGTATATGTATAAATGTCTTTCTTTTTTCAGAGCAATGTGGAGAACTTGTCACCGCAGATTATGCGTCATGTCACTAAAGAGCTGATGACACTCCAGTCTGACCCACCTGAGGGTATTAAGATTATCCCCAATGAAGAGGACATCACAGACATACAAGCAGCAATAGAAGGTCCAGGTAATGTGGCAGTGAGGGTTCAGGGGTTGGTCATTGTGCATGAGGGTGTATATTGTGGTTAGTTAGTATAGTGTATTATTAACTACATTTTAATGTTGCAGGCAGAATATGAGATATTATGTATGTTGGAGTATTTTCTCTACTTGTTTAGGTAGCGCTTTAGATGAGATGAGAATATTGATATCTGTTTGGTTTAATGATTTATTTAAATTCATTTATTTACTAATATTAAAGTCATAATAACTCTTCGTTTTGGCCAAAAATTGGATTTTCCTGGAAAAAAACAGCAATTTTCCCGTACTTACCAATGGTCAACGACCCCATTCCTGCATTCAAAGTTAATCCAGGGTTTTTTTCCTAAACGTACGGTTTTTTGTTAAAATCTCTTAAGAGATTTTAACTGACGGAGCTCTCTCTGACATTGCAAAGTCACTGGTAACCTACTTTAAAGCAGACAANACACCATTACGTCATTAGCAACGAATGCACTTGTCAACAGGAAAAAAGGGATCGAAAGCCCTATTGACAAGCACAGATTTTAGTTTTCCTACAATAACGGCCGTTTTAGTGGTAAAATACAATAGAATATATTTCCATGCGTTGTTTACAATGTATTTCATGCGGATTTTTGAATCTCAAAGGAAGAGTTATTATTGCTTTAATATTAAATATTTACAAGAAGTAAAGATTCCCACGTTTGTTTATGTTGCCAACCATTTGAATCTAGTACAACGGGAACATGATGATCTCAAAGGCAACTGGCATGAGTTTAAATTCACTTGTATTATGAACAACAGTCAACTTTTCTTTTATATTTCAGCTGGCACGCCATATGCTGGTGGTATGTTCAGGGTAAAGTTGGTGCTCAGCAAAGGTTTTCCAAGTGAGCCTCCGAAAGGTTTCTTCCTCACCAAAATTTTCCATCCCAATGTTGCCAAAAATGGTGAAATCTGTGTAAATACATTAAAAAGAGACTGGAAGACAGAATATGGAATAAAACACATTTTATTGGTACATCATATTTGTGCTACTCGTTGCATGTTTCTTTATATTATTGTTTATATTCAAAGTAAAAGTTAACAACAATAATTATTAATATATTTATTAATTATACACTTGTTCAAGCTATTTTAAAATCAATAAGAGGAGCAATCAGATTTTAAAAGGTGTTTTGTATTTATTCTCCAGTTTGAACATATTTCTTGATATATACTGAACACTTCTTTTATAGACAATAAAGTGCCTGTTGATTGTCCCAAATCCTGAGTCTGCATTAAACGAAGAGGCAGGAAAACTTTTGTTGGAGCAATATGATGATTATTCTCAGAGAGCTAGATTGTACACTGATATTCATGCAAAACCTCCAAGGTAAGCAGAATGTTTAATGCTCAAGTGGTTGTCCACATTTTTTGACACTAAAGACTACATTTTAGAAACTCGAGACAAAAGAAGATGCACACAGTATGGATAGCTGATGGATTTCTTTTTTAATTTAACGGATTTTGAAAGTTTTATTCAGTTAATTTTACAAAAGGGTCAATTTACTATTAATTATATCTCGTGCTTATTTTGTTGCATTCATTCATTATGTACTAGTAGAGTTGAACTTACAAACACCATTTGACTTTTAGATCTTCTTGTGAAGAAGAGTGCTTGGACAAAAATTCAGATGGTCCATCTGCTAAAAAGCATGCAGGAGACAAAAAGCTTGCAGAAAAGAGGAAAAAAGAGAAAAAGAAAACTCTGAAGCGATTATGATGGACATTCTAAACTGTTGTCATAGTCTGACTTGGATGTCAGTTGGGACTTGTGATTTTTGCAAGCAGCTGAGACATTTAAATGAAAATTCATTCAAATCAATGACGTTTGTTTGTTATCATACAAGTGCATCATCAGTGGCTGAATAAGTGGATTGCAGCAATTTTTTATACAACTATATCATGTCATTAAACAGTTTGTTTTAAATGCCCAGCACAAACATCATTATGTGGGGCTTTGAAACTGTTTCAAGCAGCAGCCTGTCTCTTTTTTTTTTCTTTTATTGATGAGGTAATTTATTTCTTTTAAATGTATTGTTTAGTGCTTGAATAGCCCCAGAGAGATTCCAAATTTCAAAGTGATTGGCTGTAGAAGAAATGGTTTCAAGGCTCCGTGTACAACAAATGGCCCGTTTCTATCCATTTTTATATACCCCTTCCTCACATGGTGTCATATAAAAATATACATATTAATAAATTATTTCTGTAAGAAATGTGGTTGTATTTGCCTTTTTCTGGTTTACAGTGCATGTTGTCGATACAGACTGCCCATTGAGTCTTTTTGGAAAATTTTTTGAAGCTGACAAAATTCGAGCACTTCTTACAAAATGTGGCAAGCCTTTGGTTGCAACTTCACTATTTTGGCCTTAGTTCATGGCAAATGGTTTCACTGTAAAGAAAAAGACCTCAGGTTACCCCGCGATGCACTCTTATTGCCCATTCAGAACAAAAAGGCACTTATTCAAACATTTTCACCTCATGTTATGAAATACTTATTTTTGGATCATTGTAAAAATAAAAGATTCCATACCAAATTTACTGTAACTGCATATACGTTTACTTGAATTCAAATTTACCAGAATCTGCCCGAATAAAAAAAAATCATCAGGGACGTACTCCTCAAAATCTAATTACAAACTGTTATTGAGGTCTCTCCTTAGACAAAAAATGCAAGAAGTTATTCTAAGATCTTTAATGAACATTAAAATCATGATACTGATACATACAAATACAAAAATCTACCTAGTTCAAAAGTTGTAAAAACTTCATGTTGATCCTGTGGGTAGTCATGGTAAAGTTTTTTTGTTGGACTTACATTATTAAAATTATTCTGAAGCCAATTGTTTCATGCACATGTTGGTTTTAAAGATTTAACATCTTTCAAAGCCAAAAAATTGATGATATTGACATCTAGACAATTTCTTCACTTTTTCCATAAATCTTTTAATTACTGCCTACATATGTAACATAAAGAGAGAAACCAATCTTGATTGAAAAATTCAGTTCAGTCTGTATTTTCTATTTATTTTTTATCTTGATTCACTGGAACTAGATCTGCTGTGTCTTCTTCGTCTGGCTGGTGATCTTGACCTTGATTTAGAACGTGACCGTCTTGGAGGTGTGCGTCTTCTTGGAGGTGGTGACCTGAAAGATACAATTTTAAGATAATTCTGTACATTCAGATTTCTCATCACAGCACAGCCTTTATATCTGAAAAAATATGAACTCAAAATCTCCATTTTTTGACTCTAATATTTAGCAGGCCTGGATACATACCTCCTCCTAAACCTGGGTGGTGATTGCCTCCACCTTGGTGGGGGGCCTCTCCTGGGAGGACTTCTCCGTGGTGGCATCCTGGGCTGTCTGGGAGCTAAAACGGTTGCCGCTGTCACTTCCTGGCCATCAATCTGACCTGCATATTGAGGTTACAAATTATGACATGACTGCATACAAAATGAAATAATTTTTTAAGATTAACAACAATAACAATGAAACCACGCGGAGCCTTAAAAAATCCACAAATCATTAGATTGCTCACATATCTTAGATATAACCTTTAAAAACCCCACAAATCATTAGATTGCTCACATATCTTAGATATAACATTTAAAAAACCCACAAATCATTAGACTGCTCACATATCTTAGTTATGACATATGGTGAACCACTGTTTAAAACTTTAGTTATGACTTTGGATGCAAATGAGGTCCTTTCATTTATAATACAATATCTTTAGCACAAATCTAATATTATCACACTACATAAAGCATTATAAAAAATGGGGGTGTGTGGGGAAGGGGGACATACCTCCATCCATGTGTTTTATAGCTTTTTCTGCCTCTTCGGGTTTTTCATATTCTACATATGCAAAACCTCTGGAAATATTGCCATGTAGTCTGTCATTGGGCATCTCAAGGCTCTTGATTGTTCCATACACAGAAAAGATTTCTTGAATGTGGTCCTTGTTCACATTTCGTGTCAGACGACCTATGTGCACTTTGGATGGTTTGGGGGTTGGGCTTCTTTTCTTTCTCCGGACAGGTGATCGTGATCTGGACTTGGACTTTGGTTTTGCTGCCCTGCAATATTAAAAGCAATCACTATACATAATCAAATTCATATTTCACCATTAGACAAGTATTCATATTTAAGAAGTGAAATAGTCTACACCTTCCTTAACACTTCATTTTAGCACTTAGTAGCACAATACATTTTATACCCTAAGAGAATATAAGTATTTTCCATTAAAACAGGTTTATGTTTGGAGAGAGGGGGAGAGGTTGCCTTTGACAGCCTTTTGAGCAAAATTCCCCTTATATGCAGAGACAGAGAAATATAGTAATGAAATTATTTTTAAAAAATGAAAACATCTTAATGTATGTAAAATGTTTTCATTTTTTAAAAATAATTTTATTACTATATTTCTCTGTCAGCATATAAAGGTGCATTTTAAGTCAATTTTTTGGCACAAAAGTCAGCCAAATGTCAACATATAGTTTCAAATAGTATAACTTACAGAAATATTTAAGGTTAGTGTTTCATATAATTAGAATGGGTATTTTCTGCTTACTTTCTGCGCTATTAATAACCGAGAAAGATAATAAGTTTGAAAGCTCTTTTAAGGCTGACTGAGTGATTAATTCATTTGGCACGTCAACTTTATTTGAGTCATATAAGAAATTAGTTGAAGTGCCTTATATGTCTACTGGGAATCCATTCTCAGTTCAAATGTATCTTTAAGAAGATTACATCAATCAGCTGGTTGAACTAATTTGGAGTGTTCTTATAATGTACATCATCATCATCAAAGCCAGATGCAGGTACTGGTGTTTACGACAACATATCTGAAATGTAATATCTCTTACTTTGTTCTGCGTCTGGTTCCTCTATCTCTGGAGCTGGAAGATCCACTGGAACTACTGCTGTCTGAACTAGAGCTTCTTGAACTACCAGAACTACTGCCAGAACTAGAACTGGAACTGCTTGACCTTGACCTAGATCTGGAACTGCTACTACTGGAACTGTATAATACATGATACCCATTGGTAATAATTTGGAACTAAGTGCTGGGCCTGCTTGGTTAATTATCTTCTTTTAAAACTGGTACTGTCTAATGTATGTCTTTCGCATTTTTATGATTTTATAAAAGTTGACTTAATAAGATGGATAAATGAATTTTATAAATCATTGGTTCTTCAACTAAACAATCAATTACTGCAACCAACCATACAAATTGGGAAAAAAAATTACAGCAATACCAAGTAACCGATTACATAACTTACCTGTCACCACTGCTGTTACCACCTTTAGTTTTCTTATCTTTTTCCTTTTCTTTTGTGCGTCCTCGCTCCCCTGTCTTTTTTGCACTAGCACTTTTTTCTCTGCTTGCACTGCGGCTTCGAACCCTATATTGCAAATTATAATAAATAAATATACACTACACACACACTTGGAGGTCACCATTTTCAAGGATTCCACAATGCGGTTGTGGAGCAACTACCACAGTGACAGAACTAGACATACCTATAGTAAAGACCCCAATNGCCCAAAATGCGTAAAGAAAAAGTGTTATCTTACCATGTTGTTTAGAAAACTTCTTTTTCCTCCGACAACCCGTCTTCACTGCCGTTCACCTCTATGTTAAAATGACCACTCAGCTTCGTTTCTAACACCACTGCACGTCACTTCCGGCACAATTCTGACCAATGCTGATCTTCTCCGGTTCCCTTTATTAAGTAATTTAAACTGTAAAGGTTGGACTACAGTACAAGAACAGAAGCTGCAATGATAATGCACAGTAAATATAAATATACACATATATATTCTGGCAAACTATTTAAGATTGTTTCAAGTACTCTTTGTAACAAGACTGATTATCTATGGACCATTCTGATCACCAGAAAGTTCAATAAAATATCATTCTGAAAAAGCTTTTATGACATGAAACACAAATGTGATCTCACAGTAGAGAGGTTTGCTTTGCATACCTAGATATCCATATATCGATCCATTTCTACCTTTTAAAGAACGGGGCCGTAGCAATGGTCCCAAGGTTCATTGGTCCAAAAGTTTAGTATAGAACTTTTGTACCAATGAACACTTGATTAAAAAACTGAAGAAAATGCTATGATTTTTCGGACCAATGAACCTTAGGATTATCTAGACGCCCCCTTAACAAGCAAAATATTTTGCAAGTGGAATACTCAATTTAATCCTTGCACAGACTGTACTTTACAGTGGAATATTTTTGAAAAACCCAATACCCTTGTCAGCATTGATCAATAAGTTGCCCCAGCATGCAAGTCAAGACAATGTGAATGATATATATATATATATATATATATATATATATATATATATATATATATATATATATATATATATAAGCATTCACTACAAACAAATGATCAGCTAGTTTGTTTACAAATAAAATATTCTGACTAGGGTAGCAGCTACCCTAGTCAGAATATTTTATTTGTAAACAGCTACCCTAGTCAGAATATTTTATTTGTAAACAAAACAAATATCTTGTATTTCTGTAGCATGTCAGCAAAACCTAAACAATTAATTTTCTATATTTTCCACATTCATTTGTATAGTGACTTTGATAGGTTCAACTACTATAAAAGTAAACGAGTTTATTTACTGACTGGGTGCATGTTCTACTAGAAGTTTTGAGTCTCACTGCATGTAAAAACCAGGGTCCTAATGTAAGGGATTAGATGAAGGGTATGCTCAAAACTACATTATTTTTCTAAACAGCTCCAAAGTTTATAAAATTAAACATAAGGAACTTGATTCGTTTTATTTCCAGACCCAGATGAAAATAATTTACGTTTGCAAGTCGTACGAGTTACCCCAACGTTAATATTTTAAGCTCTAGCAAGTACTCAAACATATAAACATAAATGAATGGCATGCATATTTATTTGATGAAAAAAATACTTCTCAATATTGCATCGATGGTCAATAAAATCAGAGGATTCAAAGAGATTTTAACTTACATTTTGAGACACCGGCTTGTATGGAAAGATGGCGGCGATATTGTTTATAAAATTTGCTCTTTTTGGCGTGGAGGCTTGAATGCATAGGAGTTTCATTTCATACCATTTCTTTATTTAGTCACTATTTACTTATCATTTTTCATTGTAAAAAGAAGTCAACTTAACCATGACGTATGTTTGTATTTTGTAGGGATTTCAAATCTTAACTTTCTAGAAAAGTGAAAAAAATAAATAGATCGAGTCAGCAGCAGATCTCATTGGTGTGCTTTGTTTGCACTCGGCAGTCGTTCAGTTTTAGAGATTGATCTACGATATTTTCATCTGATTACACAGTAGCACAATTTAGTATTTATCATTTTGGAGCATCCACCTCATGTGAAGTGCAATGTACAATACATAAAAAATTGAAACTGATAATGTTGTGGCATGAATTACACACTAAATAACCAACAAAATGACAAAGAAATGATTCTAAGAAGACTGGTATTTATTTTTCATTAAAAAGATATAAAATTGTACTACAAATCCACTCATAATACACTTTGATATTGTCAACCAAAAAATGAAGGAGACGGCAAAATGTTTTACAAAAAAAAAAAAAAAAAAATCTTATCTTATTTAAGACTGACATGATTTTAGTCTAAATGTATGTAAACCAAAGAAAAAACTCTCTTCAACAAATGTGACCATATCAGCATCTGTCAAATATGAACATCTGAGAAAAATTGTAACAGAACATTTTCTGTTATGCCATCAATAACTGTTCTTCTTTCAGATGGTCAGGTAACTTGCTTTTGTCAATGTTTGTTCATTTGTTTTTAACATTATGATCCTTTCTTCCGCTTTTATAACAGATTTCATACTTCAGGACCTTCTCCTCCAGGCACAAGCTGTAATAAGGAAAACACAAAGAAATAAATAATTAATCTTTCAAGTAGATTAAAATGCCTCAAACCTCCAAAAAAGAACCCTCACCAGTGGTTGGCAAATTTCTATTTCTGCTGAATCTAATGAAAAATACATCATACTTTCTGGCACTTTATCACTCTTCAGGTACATGGCACGAGCAGCATATATATCTATATATCAGATGTATACCTACCATTGTGATGTTGTTTCCATTTAGTAGGATCTGATCAAGTTTAGTAACTCTTCTACCCTCTGGAGTGCTTTCACTAAATGAAAATAATATTTTAAAAATTTACAAAACCCAACTGGTAAAAATATTAAAGATGAAATTTCTCAAAAAAGATCCTGATCTTTTGATCCACGATCTTGTATAATTTAGATTTTTTCTAAAATCTTCTTTCAACACATTAAAATTAAAGTATTAGAGAATAATTGTTAAAATTCAGAGTTTCACTGAATTAAAAACAGAACACTTTTAAATTACCATTTTAACCAGCACAATTATACTCACAATTCAATAACATCTTCCAATACCATATCTGATGGTGTACTTAAGGAAAATTCTTTTTCTTTTATGAGAAACATATATTAAATTAATTAAACAAAATTTCCTATGTAGAAATGTTTACAGCATTATTGATTTAGCTTGTTTTCCTGTAAATGAGGAAGTCTAGCGGTAAAAGAATTTCAACTTCAGTTCAGATTTTTGATTCACTGACTGCTTTAAGCTCATTTATGTATTAAATAGGACCTTGACTGGAGAGATCTTCAAACAACATCTGTTGACAGTGGCTTAGTTGTGGATTCAACACCCAGTTTAATTCCATAAAATGATGACGAGTGCCTTTTAAACATCAGTAAAAAGAATTTCACTGGTCCTAACAGCTTGAGGATTGACAATTCTACATGTTCATGTCAGCTACCAGTATATGTCTGCCTGACAATAACTTATTTTTGGCAGTGTATAATGACAACATAAAAATTAGAACCACACGACTTATTAAACATATCTTTCCTACATCAGGCACACAACAAAAGGATACTAACAAAATCATCAAATCCTAAGAGAGTGCCAACCACTTCTTTGTCATTCTTCATGATAATATGTATTCTGGACCCGATGCATTTGTCCACCAACTCTGTAAAAAGGAACAGGCAGCTGATAATAGTGCTATTTTGCGTAAAAACGAGAATAACAACAAGGTAGAATAGTATATGCTAGCTCTTTACTTTGCAACAGTCTCTAATACTGAAAGTGGCAAAACGTCAAAATTCACGTTGCCATGTTGAGAACAAGCACACCATTTTTAATAATCATTAATATTATTGCTATTTATTCTGAATACACAACACCAACCACTAGGATTAACAAAAGCATTGTAATGTAGTTTTACATAATATCATACTTTAAGCAAAAACACTTGTTTATTACAGCGAAAACAACGTACCAAGTGGAAGAAGCTGGGTCGGACTGGTCATCGCCATTTTGCCGGCTTTTGAAAAAGGGCAATTCATGAGTGCCGATTAAAAGAGTATTAACCTAAAGCGATTTACCGTTTAACTTACAAAATGTTTCAGTTCCTCCATCAGAATACAAAAAAAAAAAAAAAAAAAATAAAAATAATAATAATAATAATAATAAATAAATAAAAAACGTTTGTTACATATTTTTCAGTATTTACAACGCAGAAATAAGAGTTTTGAAGTTCAATTTAAAAGATATAAGACTTGGCCAAAGTAACTGTTGCTCCATATTCAACTTTTTGAGTTCTAGCTCCTTTAACACATATTATATTATCATTGTCTAAGTCTTTTGTATTAAAAAATTTTTGTGAAAATACTATCAAAATGAAAATATCATTTTGGTGCACTTTAAAACATCAAATTTCACATATTAGAATCAAATGTTTGTCCAGTATATGCTTTAAAATGAGATTAAGGTAGATCGGTCGTTACGTAATTTGACGATTTGCGCAATTTCAGCGCATCGTCAATCGTCTCTAACGACACTTCGGTCTGTTTTATCAATTTGAGGGAATAAAACAGTTATCTATAAGATAAACACACATTATCAACTTGTATGTAACTCTGTATGATCGATACAGATTTTCAACAACGTTTGTCGACTATGATTCCATACGACAACTGTAGCACGTTCATAGACTTGCCCTTCAAGAAATCGTCGGAATAGCTCCTTCTCCAATTTGATTTGGCACTAGAAAATGTATGACAGCTAAAGCTCACAAATTATGCAGTAGGTGCTATATCATGTAAAGAATAAGTGTTGTAAATTCCAATCAAAGCGGCTGCGTACATTTTGAGGTAGAACGCCCTGAATGTGCTGCATACCGTAGCTTAGATTTCATAGACAAATATGTTAAAAGGGCCTCTAAATCCAACCTCTTTGTTTGCTTTGTTGACTTTTCCTCTGCTTTCGATACCGTGTGGCGAAACGCCCTGTTCTACAAACTGACAAGGGCAGGCATCAATGGGAACTTTCTAAGAACCCTTCGTAATATGTACTCATCTGTGCGTTTTGCCGTCAAATGCAGAAATAGCATAACAAATAGTCTCTCGTCCTCTGTTGGTGTTAAGCAAGGCTGTAATCTCAGTCCACTCCTCTTTAATCTCTTCATAAGTGACCTGCCCTCAATTTTTAACGACAGATGTGACCCAGTGTCTCTGAATAATCAAAAATTAAATTGCCTATTATATGCAGACGATCTAGTAATTATGTCGGAAAGCAGTGCAGGTTTACAAACCGCAATAAATCAACTTCAGGCCTACTGCAAAAAATGGAAGCTACTAGTGAATATCACTAAAACAAAAGTCATGATATTCAATAAATCTGGCCACAAAATCCAGAAACAAATTTTCAAGTTTGGCGATATACCTCTAGAAATCTGTAGTGAATACTGCTATTTAGGACTTGTCTTTACTCCATCCGGAAGTTTCACCAAATCCCTTGAAATACTCAAATCAAAAGGGGGGAAAGCATTTTTCAAAATCCGCAATAAATTATTTACCAGCCCAGTGCCCATTTCCATGAAACTTTTTGACTCACTCATAGCTCCCATTCTTACCTATGGCTCTGAAGTTTGGGCACCATACTTTGTCAAAAACTCAAGTAAAGACAGCTACTTCCTAATTTGTGACAAACTTTCCATTGAAACCTTACATCTCAAGGCCTGCAAAACTATCCTAGGTGTTAACCGAAAATCTCCCTCACATGCTGTCCGCGGAGAACTGGGCAGCTTCCCAATACTGACCACTGCCCACACACTGGCCCTCAAATACTGGCACAGCCTCCAATATAAAAAGCACCATGACACCACCTCCTTAGTTACTCATGCACTTCATGAAAATGAAAATTTAAACAGACTTAAAACCTCAACCTGGTCAACCGGCATTAAAAATACACTGGCGCTCATTGGACGCCCTGACATTTGGGAGGACCCTTTTAAAATATCCATGACCGCACTCTCTTCCATAATAAAACCGCTTATCCAAATCTCTTATAGTTCGGCCTTTAAATCTCACCTAGCATCCTTNACTGACTGCCTGTATGACATCTCATCATTATGGTGTATCAAGCCGACTAAAGTTGTGTCATCGGCAAACTTCATTAAAAATGTATTTTCCTCCCTCGCCACACAGTCGTGGGTGAATAACGTATATAAACAAGGTGATAAGACGCAGCCCTGGGGTGTGCCAGTGTTTAAAACTATAGTGTCCGAGAAGTTAAAACCGACTTTTACTGACTGTTTTCTGTTTAAAAGAAAATCTAAAATCCAAGCGCAGAGTGCTGGTGGAAAATTAAGATCATCCAAAAGTTTAAAATACAATTTGCTTGGTACAGTGGCTTAGTTGTGGATTCAACACCCAGTTTAATTCCATAAAATGATGATGAGTGCCTTTTAAACATCAGTAAAAAGAATTTCACTGGTCCTAACAGCTTGAGGATTGACAATTCTACATGTTCATGTCAGCTACCAGTATATGTCTGCCTGACAATAACTTATCAGGGGGTGGAAAAGCGCAACTAATATGATTATGGTGAGCCTAACCGTCAACACCGGATATTGGTTTGTGACCTTGAGGGGCAATTAGGCTTGGTCTTTGCAGCACGCATGAACAGTTGTCGATCTACCACACCTGTGTCTTTTGTTTTTGACAACTGTTCACTCGTCAACGAGGTGCTTGTTTAGGACTACAGAGTGATATCAACTAGTACTACCAGTGGCTTCATTAGTAACATTCCCACAATTAATACATGGTTTTCTGTCTGTGCATACATACCCTGAATTTGGTTAGCCTCACTGACAAGAACAATGGACGTTTCTCACCCCTCTCTAGGATTACCCCTGAACTTATTTTTGGCAGTGTATAATGACAACATAAAAATTAGACCACACGACTTATTAAACATATCTTTCCTACATCAGGCACACAACAAAAGGATACTAACAAAATCATCAAATCCTAAGAGAGTGCCAACCACTTCTTTGTCATTCTTCATGATAATATGTATTCTGGACCCGATGCATTTGTCCACCAACTCTGTAAAAAGGAACATGCAGCTGATAATAGTGCTATTTTGCGTAAAAACGAGAATAACAACAAGGTAGAATAGTATATGCTAGCTCTTTACTTTGCAACAGTCTCTAATGCTGAAAGTGGCAAAACGTCAAAATTCACGTTGCCATGTTGAGAACAAGCACACCATTTTTAATCATCATTAATATTATAATATTGCTATTTATTCTGAATACACAACACCAACCACTAGGATTAACATATGAATTGTAAAGTAGTTTTACATAATATCATACTTTGAGCAAAAACACTTGTTTATTACAGCGAAAACAACGTACCAAGTGGAAGAAGCTGGGTCGGACTGGTCATCGCCATTTTGCCGGCTTTTGAGAAAGGGCAATTCATGAGTGCCGATTAAAAGAGTATTAACCTAAAGCGATTTACCGTTTAACTTCACTTACAAAATGTCTCAGTTCCTCCATCAGAATACAAAAAAAAAAAAAAAAATAATAATAATAATAATAATAAATAAATAAATAAATAAATAAAAAATAAATAAATAAACGTTTGTTACATATTTTTCAGTATTTACAACGCAGAAATAGGAGTTTTGAAGTTCAATTTAAAAGATATAGGACTTGGCCAAAGTAACTGTTGCTCCATATTCAACTTTTTGAGTTCTAGCTCCTTTAACACATATTACATTATCATTGTCTAAGTCTTTTGTATTGACGAGGTTTGTGAAAATACTAACAAAATGAAAATATCATTTTGGTGCACTTTAAAACATCAAGTTTCACATATTAGAATCAAATGTTTGTCCAGTCTATGCTTTAAAATGAGATTAAATGAGTGTATACTACAAATACAAAGGGTAACTAAAAACAATTCATTATATTCAAGAAATATACATTTTATTATTATCAAATAAAATTATCTTTTCATACAAGACATTTTGTATAAATACACAAATGATTAATGTGTAGAAATACAATTTAAATACCAATAATATGACTAATTTGAAGGTATATGATTTACACAGTGTATATATGAATACACAATTTTCAGTTTTTCACCATCTCTCAAGCTACTTCCATCTTGCAGATATTGTAGGTAAGGTTGTTTCAGTTACTCTCTGGAGTATCACAGTGTGACTACTGCCAGGTTTACTATCTCTGTTTTCATTTGAGAAGCCAATGTCCCCCAATTCACTATTCTCTTCAGTGGAAAGTTTCTATTTTCTAAGATCAAGAATCCTTCCAACCAGGCATTCCAGGTATTTTTCCTCCTGCACCTTGCTGGAATTGACGCATCATGCTCTGAAGACCTGCCATTCCACCTAAAAATATTAATATTAAATATCAATAGTGTGACAAAAATTCCAAAATGTTCCTTTTATATATCTGCAGGTATTTAAGTTTTCTACACCAGCATAGTATAATATCAAATTACCAATCAGTATTTCAACAAGGAAGAAGTTGAAAACTTTCACTACTCTTGCACCATGTCAAATCTTTCATTTAGCAATTGAATGCATTATTTCACAGCATTCATAGGTAACATTTCTTAATCTTTTTAATCAATCAATTATTGTGACACAGTGATCAATAAACCAATTATTCTGGTATCAATTTAAGTATTGCTTACCCATTTGGTGTAAAACTCTTGGATCCATCATCTTGGCCATTTGCTGGTTAAGTTTGGCCATCTGGGCTGGATTTACATTCTTACCCATGTCACCACCTTAAAAATTTAAAAAACACAACTTTAGCCAAAATTCACAGATACTTGATATTAAAAACGCTCTTTACACAAAAGGTAATAAAGAACAGCATTTGATATGTAAACTTTTAAAGAAAAAAATTGCCATGCTTTCAGTATCTCAGTACATAGAGTTGATGCATCCATGGATTGTATGCACCCATGCCTTTGAGAGCATTCACATTGAGAAGAGCCCAGGTCTAGCAAGGCCCAGACCTAAATATGGTGGACTTACATGAAAGGAAGACCGCATAATCCTTTAATGGTCTCTCAATGAAATGTCTCAATGAAATGTCACTGAGAGACCATTAAAGGATTACACAGTATTCCTTTCATGTAGGTCCGCCATATTTAGGTCTCGGCCCTGCTAGACCTGGGCTCTTCTTGATGTGAATGCTCTCTTTGTGTTTGTCATAGCATAGCTATGGCATAGCTATGTTTCTATCAAAATATCTTTTTGCTTCTACAAACAAACTTCTCAACTTTCTTTTTTTAATCACCTTTAAACAGCCCTTTAATGCCTCCCATCTTTTTCACCATCTGTGCAAACTTGGTGTATTGGGATAGCAGATCTTGCACATCTTTGTTAGACACTCCTGCCCCCCTAGCAACTCGTCCTACTCTCCCTGCTTGGCGGGTGAATAGTTTGGCACCTTCAAAACTGTCCAGCTCTGAAAGTTATTATCATTTAGGTGGGAATTATTAACTGTTAAAATTCCATATATCATTTTCACTCAGTACAATGAAGCATTTCTTTTATTCATATTTACATCTACTTACAATTTCATTATTTCTACAATCACTCAATAGACTGTTTACATTTTAACAACCATACCATATTTTCTAGCCAAATAAATGACCAACTTAAAATTGTTTTTTTTTTTTAAAGTAAATTCTTGCTGTAATTGCACATGCTTCTATATTTCTAGTAAAATGTCACATCATTTTTAGCTACCTTGATCATTCATACTGTCCATTATGGTCATAAGTTTCTTCAGCCTATTCATGGATTCTTGCTCATTGCCTTTTGTCATAAAATCACTCCCAAAACCTGGGATCATACCCTAGAGAACAAATAAAGTATAGTTATCTAAAAGTCTTTTCACATCAAGCATTCTTAGCAATACAGCTACACTGGCTTATTTAAGAAGTTCTACCATGCGATAATGCTACAGTTCACTTTACCCCCTTTCACTACTCTACTTCCTACTGTTTAGATAAGTTAATTAACTAAACGTGTCAAGCACGCGCGATTCTCTCATGCAATAGTTAGGATATTATATAGTTGTCAATCACTCAAAACATACTGATTCAGCTGTATTCCTGAGATACAAAGCTCCACGAAGAAAAAATCTAACTACATTACATATTTATATAGTTGTGGACATCTGAAAGTGAAATTAAAATCTCACCAGATAGTAATAATAACATTACATTATAACTTGTATCATATATCAAACATAATCAACAGCATACAGTACAAGATTAAGTGCACAAATCATTCATATGAATTTGAAAAAAATCTACTTACAATAATTTGACTAAATGGTCCCATCTTCATAATATTCTGGAACTGTTCATACATGTCTCTCAAAGTGAACTGTCCTAGAACCAGAAAAAGTTACTGTGATTATACTGAAAACACTACACAGGCAATAGATACTTGTGTTAACCATGTATTACATATATCTGTCATAAACATACAAATACTAAAAAATTGTACTTATTAGGAAACAAGCTGTGTCTGTAAGAATTTTATCAAAGATGTATAGTAACAAATTCACCTTTTAATTACTTGAGTTTTGTACTAAGAAAATGGTTGTAGTAATTTGTGTTACAAGGAATGTACACAGCTGTACCCTTGCTTGTTATATACCTTAAAAATACATTAAAATGCACTGCAAATAGATCAGTTCTACAGAAATCAGGGATGGTAGTTGGCTGACCTAGCTCATAAATCAATCATTCTCAAACTTACCATGCTTTAGCCTTTTGAGTAGTTCTTCATTATCATCTAGGTTTAATTCCTCAACTTTTTCAACAAGCCCTTTTAAATCACCCATACCTAAAAATAATAAAATAATTAAATAAGTATTTCAAAAGTATATGAAATGCCAAAACTTTATTACTTGAAGGACACTTTTCTATAGTTGTAGTAGCAGTAGTAGACATAAAAACATAATATATTCATATACCTTTCAATTAAAATAGTTTAGGCATAAAAAGCATCTACTAACAGCACAAGACTAACAAAGGACTGTAAATGATTTCATTACATTTTATAAAGCAAGAAAAACAAACATGAAAGAAAAACGAAAAATTACCTAGGAGTTTACTGACAAAAGGTTGCACTTTGAATGGCTCAAAATCATCTATATGTTCTCCTGTGCCAATGAAGATTACTGGACTTTTTGTTGCTGCAACACTGAAAAGTAATAAATTTCATACTAAAAACTTTTAAAGTAATAAATAATGAAAAAATTGTCTGAAAATGTCATGTTAAAAAAAAGTATGGCTTAAGTTCTTCACATGGCACAAAATATTCTAATCTCATGTCAAAACCTAATGATAAATAGTGAACACTCATACCAATAGCAACTTCAAACATCAAAGCATGGCATAATGGTGTAATTATTCAGATTTTAATAAAACTAATAAAGAAATATTACTTACGCACTAAGAGCACCACCACCTTTAGCATGACTGTCTAGCTTGGTTATAATTACTGAACCAATGTCTACCTTGTCTTTGAAAGCTTTTGCCTGTAAAATGAACAGATAAATAAAAAATGAGATTTTATTTATTCAGAAACATAAATATAACAGAAATTAATTGAAAACCAATTTTTCTGTGCAATGTATTTTAGTAAAAATTTCATTAATTTCATTTTAGTTCACTAACCTCTATATCTAAATATTATTTTCATTAATAAATAATACACATTAAATAAACATTTTGTCACCTGCTACTGATATTCAAAAGTTAATCTGATGAAAAATTATTGTTTCCTACTAAATAAATATATAAATAATAATAATAATAATAATAAGATCAAGACAGATAGAGCAGTGTAATAAAGCAACATACTTGAGCCTCACAAGCTTGACCAATTGAAGCGTCCATCACGAAAATAACATTATCAGGACCCTGAAAAATGGTAAAAAATACATCTCACAAAGATTTGACAAAAGAAATATGTCTTTAAATACGTGTGCTGTATAATTAAAAAAATACACAACCAAATACAATTACTGTAAGCCAAATCTCATGCAAAAAATTGTACAAAAAATGTTGACAATTAAGACAATTTTCCAAAAGAAAAGTTTTTATAAAATGCAACTCTTAATCATTTTGCAATGCTGTACATACTTACTGTGACATTGGATACTTGTAACATTTCTTCGAAGAGTGAATCTTCTTGTTTGTGACGCCCACTTGTATCAACTATAATAATCTCAAAGTTTTCTGCCTTAAACTTATCCACACCTTCCTGGGCAATTACTACAGGATCTGCCTCTGTATAACTGGAAATTAAATATAAACTATATCCATATTTTGTTAATCTTTGTGTACTTTTAGAACAGATGATCTGCAGCTTGACTGATCAGTTGATTAATGTGGCCAATCCCATTTACCAAGCCACCTAATCCCCTGATGGTCTCCTGGTCTCCACATGTGCTATCCCGGAGAACATTTTTACATTTTTTTTTATCATTTCATCATGAAAATATTGTTGCTCACTTTGGAATGGTTAGATTGTTGAGCTCATGCCAGCATAAAATTTTCTCTGCTGATGAAAATAGTTCCTGCAGGCTAAAGAATCTTGAAAAGATATCCTTTCATTCATTCAGTCTGGAATTTAATTACTTATTTAGCCATTTGGCTAAATCAACAAACAGGATAAATTGACATTACCTTCCATAAAAAGGAATCCTAGCCTTTGTTGCATTCTGTTTCAACTGGTCAAAAGCTCCGGCACGAAATGTGTCCGCACAAATGAGACATGTTTTCCATCCTTTCCTCTGGTAGTAGTATGCCAACTAAACAAAATATGATGAAAGAATGTCAACTTCAGGAAAATAAAAGAGGATTTTTATGCCTAAGAAATTAAAAATTTCCTAGCATTATTAATAAGTAAAAAAAAACTTTGGCTGAGCAACTGACAGTTTAATAAAAATCCCCTAGAGTCACAAATACTTATCAGAACAACATCTGTAAAATTCCATGAAATATCTTGTAAATATGGCAAAATAAGCTTTTTAGTGTCTTGGTAATGGTAAGAAATTCTATTAAGTAGATTGTTTCTAAAGAGATCAAACATGTTTGTTATAGCTCAAAGTTAACAGCAAGTCATTAAATAGTCACATTTGTCATTACCTTACATTGTGGTGTTAGCATGCACTATTAGTGTGTGACAGGAATGCCATGCTCATCCCCAGATCACTTTTCTTATGCCAAGTGTAAAATACTGTTACTATTAAAAAATATCTTTAAAGCATCATTGTGTTACGAGTTGGACATAGTTAAGACCAGTTAGCCCAAGGATATTATAATGGCCATACGAATACAAAGTTATGGGTATATCCAAATCAATAATGAAAAGGAAACTCTTTTGGACAACTAATTAACATTCAAACAATTTCATTTTACCTTTGTGCATGTTGTTGTTTTTCCACTACCTTGTAAGCCTACAAACATAATAACATTGTTTTTGCCTTTTGTTGGCTGCCATGCCTTTACTCCAGGATCAATCAACTGCAATGAAAATGCACAATCATTCAGTTAGTCTTGGCTTTATTTTTTTTAACAAACTTCACATTTAAAGAGACATATTGCCACTGAAGGTTGTATAATTTACGAATGGACTCATTCTGGACAATAATATATTCACCTGAATGCAAGAACCCCATCCAACTCTAAGTTCATACATCTTGTAGGTAAGCAATATGATTCTTACCTTTACTAACTGCTGGAAGACTGCTGACTGAATCATTCTCCTTTTGTTAAGACCAGCAGCCATCTCATCAAAGTCAATAACAGCTCTGAAACCACAAAGGAAACCTTAAAACACACAGTTAAACACTTCACTTTCAAGCACATTCCACAAGTTTGTTACAAAACTTATCACAATTGATGCATACTAGTAGCATCTACATTAAAAGGTTACAGCTTGCTAATGGTGAATATAGATTTGATTTGAGTATGTTACAACCCAGTACACCAGCTCAAATAAATAACTCAGGCTTGAATGAAAATTTGTGCCTTTTACCTGACATTCTCTCGTAACTGCTTGACAAGTTTGATATTGACATCAGCTTCTAATAGTGCTGTACATATCTCTTTCAGCATGGAATTCAACACCTAAAAATATGAAGGAATATAATTAACAACATTATCCATGGGATAAAGAAACAGCTTCCCCTATTATGTTCATTTGATTGTCCTTATGTGTTACTATATATTCCACAAATGCAGAGAGAGAGAGAGAGAGAGAGAGAGAGAGAGAGAGAGAGAGAGAGTTTCAGAACCAATATTGCACAGTACCTCTTCATTGATGACTGTTGCATTGCTGATTGATCTCAGCGCATTTGTGATCTTTCTTCCCAGATCAGCTAACACCATGATGAGTTAGTAACTGGATTCCCAGTACCTTGGATAAACCGACCAAGATATACTGTAAAACAGTGGTGAGACACAGGCAAATCCAAGTGGCAGATGCTTAGTAAAATCAGGACATATGCTAAATATCACGGGGTAGTTTCTGGTATTAAACCTAGCTTTTTCGGTCCGTTACCAGTATCACCAATATAAGTAAATTTTGTCGATTACAGTATCAATAAAATGTGAAAATTAGCTCCGTTGCAACCTGCCTCAAGAAGTTTCCTTTCTTCGAATCTCGAAAAGTCTCGTTGTACGTGTCACAATTCACAGGGAAAAGAAACAACATACTTTCCATTACTTATATATATCAAGCACAGTTGCATTTATCCCTTTTCAGTGACACCAAATTAATGTAGTAAAAATCTAAGATAGGTCTGTATGTTGGTTTGAAGTATTAAAAAAATGAAATACTTGTTGATTGACTCATCCCTGTGTTGGTTTTCAAGATGGCTGCCTCCAGGATGTCCTCACTGTTATTACTTATTTTCATGTTTTTAAGGTTAACTTTGTCTGTGGATCCTTTATTTGATGAGTTGTTGAGTGGTATTGAAAAGGCCGTTTCATATTACCAAACAAGTTACAAAGAAATGAACCTAGATGGGATATTTGGACTTAGAGTGGTTGAAGGTAAGCAACAACGCGACAACCCTTCCGACACTGACGACAACTACTTCGTGTCTACCTACAGTCTGTCGTACCATATGGGAACTAAATAATAGAGTGGCCCTATGTTCTTAGGCTCGTTGTACCTTTTATTTACACTCTTTGTGTGTAGTAATGGCGTGCACACAGTAATCCTCTTACAGTGGCGGATTTAGAAGGGGTGTAGGGGGATCCTGACCCCTCCTTTCGATTTCTGGTCCCCTCTTGTAATTAGAATTTTGACTAGCTAAATCAAAGTTCTAAACCGTACCAAATGGCACCGTTCGCCCTCTAAAATACCAAAAATTTTCAGGGCCCTTCAGCGGATCCGAACCCCACGCCAAGTGGGTGGGATGGGTTGGGGGNGTCTAGGAGGAGAAGCGGTAACAGTAGCCGTCTGGCGGAGCCGGCGGAACGATCCGGACGAGACCGAAACCATGTGCACCGCCAGCGCTAACGCTGGTGGTACAATAATAATAATAATAATAATAATAATAATAATAATAATAATAATAATAAGATCAAGACAGATAGAGCAGTGTAATAAAGCAACATACTTGAGCCTCACAAGCTTGACCAATTGAAGCGTCCATCACGAAAATAACATTATCAGGACCCTGAAAAATGGTAAAAAATTCTATTAAGTCAAATACATCTCACATTTGACAAAAGAAATATGTCTTTAAATACGTGTGCTGTATAATTAAAAAATTACACAACCAAATACAATCACTGTAAGCCAAATCTCATGCAAAAAATTGTACAAAAAATGTTGACAATTAAGACAATTTTCCAAAAAAAAGTTTTTATAAAATGCAACTCTTAATCATTTTGCAATGCTGTACATACTTACTGTGACATTGGATACTTGTAACATTTCTTCGAAGAGTGAATCTTCTTGTTTGTGACGCCCACTTGTATCAACTATAATAATCTCAAAGTTTTCTGCCTTAAACTTATCCACACCTTCCTGGGCAATTACTACAGGATCTGCCTCTGTATAACTGGAAATTAAATATAAACTATATCCATATTTTGTTAATCTTTGTGTACTTTAAGAACAGATGATCTGCAGCTTGACTGATCAGTTGATTAAATGTGGCCAATCCCATTTACCAAGCCACCTAATCCCCTGATGGTCTCCTGGTCTCCACATGTGCCATCCCGGAGAACATTTTTACATTTTTTTTATCATTTCATCATGAGAATATTGTTGCTCACTTTGGAATGGTTAGATTGTTGAGCTCATGCCAGCATAAAATTTTCTCTGCTGATGAAAATAGTTCCTGCAGGCTAAAGAATCTTGAAAAGATATCCTTTCATTCATTCAGTCTGGAATTTAATTACTTATTTAGCCATTTGGCTAAATCAACAAACAGGATAAATTGACATTACCTTCCATAAAAAGGAATCCTAGCCTTTGTTGCATTCTGTTTCAACTGGTCAAAAGCTCCGGCACGAAATGTGTCTGCACAAATGAGACATGTTTTCCATCCTTTCCTCTGGTAGTAGTATGCCAACTAAACAAAATATGATGAAAGAATGTCAACTTCAGGAAAATAAAAGAGGATTTTTATGCCTAAGAAATTGAAAATTTCCTAGCATTATTAATAAGTAAAAAAAATCTTTGGCTGAGCAACTGACAGTTTAATAAAAATCCCCTAGAGTCACAAATCAGAACAACATCTGTAAAATTCCATGAAATATCTTGTAAATATGACAAAATAAGCTTTTTTAGTGTCTTGGTAATGGTAAGAAAGTTTATTGTTTCTAAAGAGATCAAACATGTTTGTTATAGCTCAAAGTTAACAGCAAGTCGTTAAATAGTCACATTTGTCATTACCTTACATTGTGGTGTAAGCATGCACTATTAGTGTGTGACAGGAATGCCATGCTCATCCCCAGATCACTTTTCCAAGTGTAAAATACTGTTACTATTAAAAAATATCTTTAAAGCATCATTGTGTTATGAGTTGGACATAGTTAAGATCAGTTAGCCCAAGGATATTATAATGGCCATACAAATACAAAGTTATGGGTATATCCAAATCAATAATGAAAAGGAAAATCTTTTGGACAACTAATTAACATTCACACAATTTCATTTTACCTTTGTGCATGTTGTTGTTTTTCCACTACCTTGTAAGCCTACAAACATAATAACATTGTTTTTGCCTTTTGTTGGCTGCCATGCCTTTACTCCAGGATCAATCAACTGCAATGAAAATGCACAATCATTCAGTTAGTCTTGGCTTTATTTTTTTAACAAACTTCACATTTAAAGAGACATGTTGCCACTGAAGGTCGTATAATTTACGAATGAACTCATTCTGGACAATAATATATTCACCTGAATGCAAGAACCCCATCCAACTCTAAGTTCATACATCTTGTAGGGAAGCAATATGATTCTTACCTTTACTAACTGCTGGAAGACTGCTGACTGAATCATTCTCCTTTTGTTAAGACCAGCAGCCATCTCATCAAAGTCAATAACAGCTCTGAAACCACAAAGGAAACCTTAAAACACACAGTTAAACACTTCACTTTCAAGCACATTCCACAAGTTTGTTGCAAATGAAACTAATCACAATTGATGCATACTAGTAGCATCTACATTAAAAGGTTACAGCTTGTTAATGGTGAATATAGATTTGATTTGAGTATGTTACAACCTAGTACACCAACTCAAATAACTAACTCAGGCTTGAATGAAAATTTGTGCCTTTTACCTGACATTCTCTCGTAACTGCTTGACAAGTTTGATATTGACATCAGCTTCTAACAGTGCTGTACATATCTCTTTCAGCATGGAATTCAATACCTAAAAATATGAAGGAATATAATTAACAATATTGTCCATGGGATAAAGAAACAGCTTAACCTATTATGTTCATTTGCTTGTACTTATGTGTTTCTATATATTCCACAAAGAGAGAGAGAGAGAGAGAGAGAGAGAGAGAGAGAGAGAGAGTTTCAGAACCAATATTGCACAGTACCTCTTCATTGATGACTGTTGCATTGCTGATTGATCTCAGCGCATTTGTGATCTTTCTTCCCAGATCAGCTAACACCATGATGAGTTAGTAACTGGATTCCCAGTACCTTGGATAAACCGACCAAAATATACTGTAAAACAGCAGTGGTTAGACACAGGCAAATCCAAGTGGCAGATGCTTAGTAAAATCAGGACATATGCTTAATATCACGGGGTGGTTTCTGGTATTAAACCTAGCTTTTTCGGTCCGTTACCAGTATCACCAATATAAGTAAATTTTGTCGATTACAGTATCAATAAAATGTGAAAATTAGCTCCGTTGCAACCTGCCTCAAGAAGTTTCCTTTCTTCCAATCTCGAAAAGTCTCGTTGTACGTGTCACAATTCACAGGGAAAAGAAACAACATACTTTCCATTACTTATATATATCAAGCACAGTTGCATTTATCCCTTTTTAGAGACACTAAATCAATATACCAAAAATCTAAGATAGGTCTGTATGTTGGTTTGAAGTATTAAAAAATGAAATACTTCTTGATTGACTCATCCCTGTGTTGGTTTTCAAGATGGCTGCCTCCAGGATGTCCTCACTGTTATTATTTATTTTCATGTTTTTAAGGTTAACTTTGTCTGTGGATCCTTTATTTGATGAGTTGTTGAGTGGTATTGAAAAGGCCGTTTCATATTACCAAACAAGTTACAAAGAAATGAACCTAGATGGGATATTTGGACTTAGAGTGGTTGAAGGTAAGCAACAACGCGACAACCCTGGTCCCTTCCGACACTGACGACAACTACCCGCTACTTCGTGTCTACCTACAGTCTGTCGTACCATATGGGAACTAAATAATAGAGTGGCCCTATGTTCTAAGGCTCGTTGTATCTTTTATTAACACTGTTTGTGTGTAGTAATGGCGTGCACACAGTAATCCTCTAACAGTGGCGGATTTAGATGGGGTGTAGGGGGGTCCTGACCCCTCCTTTCGATTTCTGGTCCCCTTTTGTAATTAGAATTTTGACTAGCTAAATCATAGTTCTAAACCGTACCAAATGGCACCGTTCGCCCTCTAAAATCCCAAAAATTTTCAGGGCCCTTCAGCGGGCCCGAACCCCACGCCAAGTGGGTGGGGTGGGGTGGGGGGTGGGAGAGGGTCGGGGGGTCGGCTTCGCATCCTCGGACGCCCCCTTCAAATAATCCTGGTTCTGCCCCTGCTCTTAAAATAAAATTCTTATAAAATTTAATTGTAGGTTTAGTGAAGGAGATGTCTGGCAGTCGTTACATACGACACTGCATTACATGTACCTGTATATATATATGTACTGGTATAGCAATATGGCAGACTTTTTGTACAGTATGTTGCAAATTAAGACAACATTACACTCATTTTCCATCAGAATGAATGAAATGAATGTATCAAATAAATATTATAGATAATGTTTTTCTTACAAACAATTTACAAATTATGAAAATAAAGTGTTGTGAATCTACAAACTAGTAATGCAATTATCAAGATTATTCTTTAATGCTGAATTGTCCTTTTGTAGGTCAGATTGCCTTACTGATTGATGAAATAGATGACCAAAAGCTTAAAATACAAAATAAAAAAGTACTTGAGAGACTACGTAAAATCAAAGCAGATGCCACCTATGCCAGTAAGGAAGCTATACCCTATCTTGAGAAGGGAGATGGAGAATACTACAGATCAATGAAATATTTAGTGGGAGAACAGTGGAGCATTTTTCATAGGCATCGTAAACTTGATCCTAACCTGAAATGGGTTAAATCTGATCTTGAGAGAATAAAAGAGGAGAGAAAGAAGCAGAATATATCAATAAGTATGTATTTAGTAATCACTAAATTAAAAGTATATATTTATAAAATCTACATTTGAGTGAGACATGTAACATTACTAGTATTCTTATTCTAACTTTACCTTGCATTAACATGAATTTCAGCATTCCTTATTTCTAACCAGTTACATTCTTGGTTAAATATTTTTGTCCTTTTTTTAATAGAGTTCACGCTGAATCTGGGATGTAGCTTGTACAATACTTAGCATATACAATACTAATTAGCAGTAAAACAAGTACAACTGTATTAAAGGCAACACTGTTGTAATAATATTGATTTTTATTGTAAATTTGCATTAGTTATTTGCTTACTGTTTATAGTTGATACCATTATGTTACGGTTATGAATCAATCTTTTCAAAAAATTACAAATTTCACATTTATTGTATTTTTTCAAGTCATAAATTCTTAAAATAAAACCATTCCTTCTGAGCGATAGCAAAAAAACTCATAAACAGGCTACCTTATAGTTCTGTTGTGTACAGAGCTAGAAAAAGCAACACAGGTGCTTCACAGAAATATATTATTATTGATTTTAAAATTATGTTTTTTGGAAAATTGTTAGTTTTTCCTCATTGAAAAAATCGAGTCATTACGGCAGTTGAGATTGCCGCATGTATGCTTAACAGTTCCCTTTCTCAAAAAGTAGTCGCCAGTGAATCTTTGTTTTTCAAGCATTTCCCCTTACATAGATTTAAGACTTAAATGGCTTCATAATGTCTAGATAAACTAGATTTGGTGTGTATGTGCTTGAGTATCCTGTGTAATCTTAAGTATACATTTGTATTATAGCATTTGATGAAGAAGTGAGTGACAGATGCATGGGTGAAGTAATGGGAAATAACGGCAGGCAGCCTTGTAACATTACTAATTTCTGCATGCTGCTTATTACAACCAAAGGCCTTACAGACTATGGACTAACACACCAGCTGTTGTTTACACTTTTAGCAGAAAAGGTAATTTGTTTTTTATCATTTTAAAAGCATTTTATTGTGATTTATAGAAACAATAGATGAAGAAAGAAGTGACAAGTGTATGAAGGAATTGTTTGGTAGTGACACACAAAAACCATGTCAAGTTTCAGATGAGTGCATGTATATGATCACTGCTAAAGGATTGAAAGATTATCTTCTTACACATCAACTCCTTTTTACATTACTTGGAGAGAAGGTAAACATGTGAAAAGTAGTCGCCAGAGTAATTAGAATAATAATGTTATGGTCATTATGGTCATAATCAAATATTTTAATTATGGTCTTGATTGTATAAAAAGTGAAGTTTGGAAGCCATGGTTTTTGGATACATTCACTTTTTTTGAACCATTGTATTTGCACAGGTATTTAATTTTTTAATGAATTAAATTATTTGTTTCATTTATTCATCCATGCATACAATCAATGAATCACTTACTAGTACTTATGCAGTCATAGAAGCATGAAATTTTATACAAAGCAATTTTCAGTTAATGCTCTTGGGGTAAGAATATATTTTTTATTTAGTGCTACAAGTGTACTAAGTTTTAAAAAAAGTTTTGCTTATTTGACAATCAAGTTATCTGTTATCAAAAGTATAGACTTTTTTCTCTGTAGGTGGGATGTATAAGTAAAATCAATGAATGGCTTCATGCTCATGGAGAACCAAGAGGAATAAACCAATTACAGCTAGAGTTTTGCACAAATAATTATTACGAGGTCAAAGAAAGTATAGAGTTGATGAAAGGAAAAATATGGCCCATACAGCAAGATATTTTCTTGGAAGAAGGTGAGTCAGGGTGTAATTTATTAAAAGTTTTTAGATTTTCTGTATGTTCTTTTTTCTTTTTTTTTTCTGTGAAGTTGTATTGACTTGTATTGACTGAAAAAATAAGAGTTAAGAGAATTTGAGTTTGTGTGTTTTCAATTATACTTTTAACAAACTGAGATTTAATGATTTAAGATAATGCAAAAAAGGACACACACAGGCAGGCATACACCTATTATCAGATTTTAGATTTATCAGTAGAAACTGCTTCAATTTCAAAATAGCAAAAGTACAGGTTAAGGTATCGATACCTTGATTTTCTTGAATATTTAATTTTTTCTATCAAATTTCATCAATTTTACATATGGTTGTGGTTGCATAGACAGCACTGAATTTTTCAAATGCATTTTTTTTATTTCTCTTTAGAGTTTGTCTGCCCTAGCATGGGCTTCATCCAGTTTTTACGCAGAGATTGGCTGCAGCAGATTCTTACCTGGCAGAAACCTAATGGGTGTTTTGGTAAAATGAAGAGAGCTGAGATGAGGGACAGTATTGATGGGCTAGCCATTGATGAATCAAGCTATGTATATGAAAACGAGGCAGCTATAGACATGATAGAATATTTAAAGAAGCAAAAGAAACAGAGACAGCAGAATGGAGACAGCAATGAGAGATCAAAATCTGAAGAATTTGATAAAATTCAGGGTAATCTAATACAACCAAATTCCCAGGCAGATTCACTTGGAAGCGAAAGAGACAGTCAAATGCAGGTTCAGTTTCAGCAGCCCGCAGGTGTTATGAATAAAAGCATTCTAAATCAGCCTTTACAAAAACAGGTTCAATGGAATCAACTCAACCAGCAAACACATTTGTCTAACAGACTGGTTTATCAGAATAAAGAGCAGGCTCTGTTCCAACCACCAAATGAAAAATATATTACCCACATACCCGCACAGCAGCAACAGATACCAAAGAATAGGCAGCAACTGTTTCAAGAAAATCAAATGCAACATCAGCTGAATATTGAAAACCATCAAGAAAATGCACATCTACCATCAAATCCACTTATGGGTGCTAGGAGACTAATGCAGTATAATGTTAAAAGTTACCGTTCTCGTAGACTTCTTGTGGAAAAAGATCTGGCAGGTAAACAATTCAGCATTTTCCTTTCACTGTAAAGATTGGAAATTTTCCGTGTATCATTATCAGATACTTTTCTAAAAAGCGTCCATGTTATGTTAAGATTCCACACTAAGATTGTTACCATTTTTTTCTTGTTATTTTGTAACATTAAGCAGTATAAAAGAAAGTCTGTCTGAATCTAATATATATTTTCTACAACAAATAATTGTATATAATGTTCCTATAGCAAATTGTAAGTGTTAAAAATTTTAACTACAGAAAAAGGAGATTGTTAGAGCAATGCAGTAAGCAATTACAATTTGAATGCCACTTGTCCAGTTTTTCTCTCTGTCAGATTACTATGTGATTGAATATGTAATTCATAAATAATGAAAGAAGTTGTGATTTTTTTAGGAGGGTGTCTATCTCACAAAACAGCAGTAGGAACGGCAGCCATGGTGATGTACCTTAGATTCATGCTGGACCCTGGGCCTCCAGAGTTACAAGAATATCACAGAGCCTTGATTGGAGATGAACCGGCACATAGTTCACATACAACCACAGTTCCTGGAGAAATGTTCCAAAAAACAAAATCTACCAAAAATCTGGATGATGCAGATATGGATATTTTTCACAATAAAATGGATGATGATGATCATCATCAAAAGGGAGTCCACCCAAAGCATGAGATTCGGGAAGTGTTAAGGGGTAAAGGTCAGGACTATCTAATTGATGGTGATCAGGATAATCCTCATGATCATTTTGATAGGGATGAAGATAATATAGATGAAGGTGAAAACAATGACAGAGAAGAGGAAGATGATGGAAAATTTGACCAGAATGATTTTATAGCTGAAGAGCCTGATCAGCAATATCACTTGGGTCGAAAGGTCAACCCACTGAAGAGTCATCACAATGAAGATGACATTTTTGATGACAAAAATTTAGATCCACTAGATGAAGGTTTAGCTAGCTCAAAGAAAACCACACATCTTGCTCACGAAATGCAAGGGTCATTGGCTCTTCCATGGAGAAATCTATACATTGTTATGGTTGTTGCAGCAGTGATGCTGTTTTTTATGTTCAGATTTATAAAGAAAAGAAGAATTTCAATAAGATACAGGCACAGATAAACCAGTACTATCTTTCTGGGGGAAACTGCACGGGTTAAAATTTGCACATTCAGAGATTATATAAAGGTCACATAATAATTAGAGATTATTATTCCAGGGTCAAGGGCATAAGTTGTTTGTAGTTTATTAATTCAGAGTAACCTATTAAAAGTGCAATATGAAATTACTAAAGGGTCAGCTGAATACCACTACAAATGGCAGCACTAAAAATGTCTCTTTTTTTTAGATGCAAGAATTGAATCAGTTGTTTCATTGCAGTTTATGTAATGTTTTGATATTGAATTTTGCAGATGGCAAATCAAAATTTATAATATTAAATTAAATTTTTTTGTTTTGGTGATATTTCATTTTTATACTGTACTAAAAAAAAAAGAATGTGAGAATGTGAAAGTTGCTTATTTGTTTATTTGAAGATACAGTGGTAAAGAGTGGATTGTTTAACCAAGTGTCTAAGGTTAAAGCAGAGGGCCCTATATTTGGATTGAGTGTTATGCATACAGCATTAGCATTCAAGAGTCCTTGCATTTAAATAATAATAATAATACAGAGATAAAATAAATGGATAATTTTTAAGCATTTAATTGGAGGTCCTGTATTTCCATTAAAACACTGCCGTGTCCCACCTCCTCTGTGCTTTGAGGCTACAGAATGTTGTTTTATACAGTTTTGCCATGCATTTTTTCTAAATGTGGCATCTTTTCAAAAATTCAAGTAGTTGCATGTTTCCAAGTAAACATTTTGTATTTTAACACATTTTATACAAAATTTCAGTTTTTGGCATAGTTTCAGTTGTTACTACATTTACACAAAATGTCATTTTTTACTGGGAACTCGAGTATTGAAGTGTGAAGACATATGATGGAATGAATGTAGTGTCCTGTGTGTTTCAAATATAAGTTATGGGATGAATTTATAGTATGTACAATCCACTGTCATGCAATAGAATGTCAAAAGACCTTTTTAAGGCTTTTCTTTTTATCAAGTTTTAAGTGAATGTTTCTGGTTATGTTTTGTATGTATTTTAATTCCATTATATATGCTACATTTTAGAAGTTTAAAAGAAAGCAATTTAGGTGTGTCAGTTGATGAAGTAGTACCCAGAGTTTCAGACTTTACAGAAAACTTAGTGTTCTACTAATGTTAAGACAGTGTACTCTGAAACTGTGGGTGTGAACAAGACAATCTGGTTGTAAACAACAAGTCTGCTTCTTGGTTGTGATCTAACAATGGACTCCCTTTAAGAAGTTGCTAGTATAATGTACCTTGTTTCATTACAAAAAGGAAGAAATATATATAGTTTTGTATGAGTATGTTAAGCACAAATTGTTTTTAAATCATTGTGCTGTTCTTGGAAATATTAGAGAACACAAGAAGATTTTTGCTGAATTACTTCCCAGCTTTTTAATGGCTTTTTGCTTTTTAATGGTTCGTTTTGAATTCTTTATTTTGTTAAGCTTAAAGGGATAATAACTCTTCGTATGAGATCTATATTTCACAATAAAAACATTGTGAATAACTCATAGAAATGTAATATATTCTGTTTTACCACAAAAACGGCAGTTATAGCTATTTTTTCTGATATCTGAGCTTGTCTTTAGACCACGTGACCTCCATTGATGGCTATACTGTGTTAAAATCTCTTAAGAGATTTTAACAAAAAACCAAACTTTTTAGAAAAAAACCAGGGACTAACTCTGAATGTAAAAATGGATTCATTTACCATTGGTAAGTATGGGAAAATTGTTGTTTACTCCAGGAAAATTCATTTTTTGGCCGAAACGAAGAGTTATTATACCTTTAAGACAGAAATAAGTTATGAGTTCGATCCCAGACTTATAAACATTCAGATTTTCTTCAATTTTTAAGCTGGGGAAAAAATAAAAGATGATTATTCTGCTCGGTAACTCAAAATGTCACTCAATTCAAACATTTTGATCCATAAAAATATATAAGGTAATGGCCTTGTTCTCCTCTGAACATCAACATTGCATATCTCTCTGTTATGCATTGTGTTAGCAGTACTGGAAATCTCATATGCGCAAAAAATTGAAGCAAACCAGTTGAGGGTAAAACTGCTCAATAACATTTTATATTATGAGCTATGATATAAAATTGAATACTTACAGTAAAACTTTCTTTTATATAAACAAAAGATAAAAAGATAACAATAAAGCTTTTTTAAATTGTAACTTCTTATATATATATATATATATATATATATATATATATATATATATATATACTCTCTGATTTCCTTCTGCATTCTTCCTCTAGTTTCAAACTTTTCATACTTTTTTTAATTCCAGTGTTTTCAACAGTTCCTCAATGCAGCCCATCATAACCTTTTATTCTTCCAATATAACATTGATTCCAATAGTTGGTATTTAAATAACTATGCCATGCATTCCCAACAGGTTTACATGGTGGCTCTTTCATGGGCCTCTGCAGTAAGCTCCTCTAGCCTTTTTTGAGCCTGCATTGTCAGATTATAATTTTTACCCATAGTCCATTTGTATTCTGAAAGTAAACAAAATTCTAGCATGTTTTGATTGGGATTGGTCCAGGGGTATATCATTAAAATTTTTCAGTTCACATAGGTATACATTTTAATATTTAAAAATATGTTAAATTGTAAGTCTCAGCAAAGGTGCAATACAGTTTAATATTAAAATTAAAGGTTTCATAAAAGTCTCAGTTCCACATATAAAAGCTGGCATAAGCATGGACCCATTAAACAGTATTATATATATTGGGTCTAAGCCATATTGTATGACTTCAGAGTCATAACCTTAATGTTCAAGCATAAAGTTAAAAACTTTGTAGAACCACTGGTTTTGGTGAAATTAACTTATGTACATATGAAATGTTGGATGCAAGATGAACCAGTACACATTACCTTTAACAGTGTGCTGAATGCATGGAAACACTTCAAAAAAGATTGCATTTTGAAGAGGCACAGGAAGCTGCGTGAAAGCAAAATTTAATAGTGCTATAAATAATTACTGCTCATTATTTCAACCTGGTGAAAAAATAGCAACATGGAAATTGAATAAAAATAGTATCAAATAATGGCTTACACAATTTAGTTATATCAGATTTTTAAAATGATAAATGGGAACTGGCAAGAACAAATCACTAAGCTATTGTTATCAATTTGGTGAAAAATGCAACTATCAAAGACCTAATAAAATGATATAAAATTTTTAAAATTATTAGTTTATAAACTACTTTCTTATTCATTTAATACTAGTAATTTATATTTCAAAATATGAAAATACTCACTTCAGTTGCAAAATCCTTGGTGTGCTTCTTTATAAATTCTAAATCTTCTCTGGTCTGAAACAAACAACTAAAATGTTTTTACTCCATTTTCTTGTACTAATAGACCAAATTAAATAGTTGACCATTCCAAATATACTGTGATGTATTAGATCACCTAGTCAAATGTCTAATGTTTAATAATAATGATAATAATAGTATATTTCTTAAAAACTGCACTTCAACTGCATCTCAGTGCCATGTACAATGAAAAACTGATGAATGAGTTGTATTACCAGAAGAACTCAACAGACAAAGTTGGAAATTGAAAGAAAAAAATCCATCTGGGGTTACTTAATATCAAACTACCAAAACCAAACAATATCTGTGCTTCTCTTGTGATAGTATTGTCAACTTAACAAAACTTAAAGGGTTCATTGTGATAATTACAAAATATATTTACTGAAACACTCCAAGCATAAGAGTATCATAACAATAAAAAAAAAAAAAAGAAAAGAAAAAAATGAAAATTAAGGTTATTAGTTTCATGTGAGGCTTAATGTGTTTTCCGCTAATGAGGCATGAGGTTTCAACCATTGAACAGAGGGACTTGATAACATGAATGACTCATTGATGGCTCCAGAATTTAAGATGTCAGTGAAGATTGGAGAGGGGAGGGAAGCTAATCACTTTTACATAAAACACGATTTTTCCAACAATGATTTTATTTAAGCAGTGTTATTCACTGGATACATCCCCAATCTGTTACACATTTTCTTCCTCAAAATTACTTGACATATTCTTACTGACCTTAGCGTAAGCTTCAGGAGAGTTGAAACTGGCATGCATTCTGGCCCTCCATCTTCGTATGCATAATTTCAGTGTCACTACTGCTGTCCAGCTTAACCCCAGTTTTTGAATAATCTGTGAATATGAATGTTGACTAAGATGAAATATAAATATATAAACTTCAAATAATAAGCAATAAATCCTATTTAAATTGTAAAATATATTGGATTAAAATGTCTTTAACAGCATAGCAAGTATGGTGTTGCTTCCAGAAAATGAATTTATGAAAAAATGTTTTAAATTTTACCTCTTGTTGTTCTGCAAGTTCTCTCTTGTGTTTGATTTCCATTTCTTGCTGGGCAGTTTTGTTTTTGCGCTTTTTCATACGCACTGCAATGTTAATAGCTGCTCCCATGTCCAGCTTTCCTGGATCTGTGCTAATGCCTGCAAGAGTTCAGAGTAAAATATGATTCACTGCAGAGCCTAGGCCTGTTACACAGTTTAACAAAAAACAAAATATTCCATTTACAAATTGTATTTTCAAATTTTTAAAATAAACATTTGATTTTCATCTATACATAATGATGCAATTCAATATATTATAGGCAGTATCTGAATCTAAATGTAATAATAATAATAATAAAGAGAGAAACACATCATACCGACTCCAGCTTGTTGACTGAGTTTCCCTAAATAGCCAGCCAAACCTTGTCCCTGCCATTGTTAATATAAAAAGAAAGTACGTAATGTCCATTAAAGACCATTCCACTGAACAGATTGTGTACAACTTTTGAGCTTTGGAAAAATTTTTTCCCATTTAAAAGATTTCATTTTTATTAAATTTAATTGATAGTTTTTGTTCTATTCATAGAACTGTTACTGTGTTAATAATGCAGGTACATACTTGATTTAACCACAGAATAACTTCCTGTAAAATATTGAATGCATGATTTTTTTCAAACAGATAATTCATATTTCTATAACATCAATCAAATAAGTGAACATTAAACAATAATTCCAGTCATCTCTGCTGTATTTTTCACTATTTTTTTACACAGTCATTTCTATTGATTTAAAAGAAGCATGCCACTATTAAACTTAGACCTACCCGCCTTCTAATATCTGAGGAGCCTGTAGGCTTATATATTTGACTGCTGGGGCCAGCTGCAGGTAAATAAATAACTAAAAGTACTAATGCTGTAAAAATTGATTAATGTAAAAATTAGTAAAAAATGACTAATGCTACGTTATATTCTGTTTGCGTTTTAAACTTAAAAGTGATTAATGGCCAGCACTCAATTAAATCTAGTTTTAAACAACGTCATTAGGAACATAATTAATCCTGTAGCTCTATACATTTGACAATAATTTCCTGTTACGTATGGACATTTGCCTGTTACCTTTACTTTCATCACCTTTAGTACTTTCATCATTTTGGCGTTCTGAACTATCTGCATCAGAACTGAAGTTGACAAAAACAATATAAATGGAGAAGTAGTTTTTGTAAAATAAGAATGGTAATGGATAATGTTATCACAGCATTAATTGGAAATCCAACATAATTTAATTAAATAGCTTTTTTAATCCAAATATAATAACAGATTACCCGCAGTGTCAAATACATAAACTGTTCGTGGTATCAGACGCCGTATAATATTATAGTATCAAATCAACAATCAAACATCAAATCAATCAGTCTGTAAAACTAACTCGCTAATTTCTTGGTTTTCTCCACCATCTGAATCTGCCATTTCTTCCCCTCACTTCTTATGCAAAATATATGAATGGAGAAGGTTATGTCGACAGGCAAACTTACAAACACTTCCGCGTCATGTAGTCAAGAGCGAAGTACTCATTTATCAACTGACGTGAAATCTTTTTATATTTGTTTTGAGTATTTTTCATGAAGTTCTTACTAAGTTTTTGGTAACAGCTATTTTGCGTTCAGGCAATCAGACACTTTGGTAAAAACATATCTGTCTCAAGCAAAAGATGAAAATGTTTTATGTCTCACGAGAAATACAGTACCCATTGATGGAACCCGAAAAACTACTCGGCAAATCCCGTACATTTTCGTCCACGAATGCGAGTCGTTGACAAGTAAAGCTCTACAAGTTCTTCATTTGGTCAGATTCATACTAAATAAATCGGGACATTTAGTACTTTTAATTACTCAGTGCTTCTGTTATATTTTAAAGGACGTAGGAAGCCAAGGTACATAGTAACTCCTTGCACAATATTATTTTGAATGTACTTTTTGTCTTTGCAGTTTGATCCATCAATCATGTGTTAGGTGTGCCAGGACATCACATCACAACACAACCGGTGGAGTTCGGCACTCGGCCCCACTCGGCCGCGTTTATTCCTGTTTATATCTATTTTCTAGCTTAAGTATCATTTTATATGCAATAATTAACGTTAAGCCAGTCCTATATGGCCATGCAGGTCAGAAACAAAGAATGATATTTTGCATATGATTATGAAACTAATATTTTCTCCTATCATGTCTTTTCACATAATATTTTTGCATTTGTAACCACTTTCTACATCAGATCTAAAGTTAATGAAAACAAAGTGATAAATAGAGACAGAATGGTTATAAATATCAGCAAACATTTTACTGATTAGATAAGAGGTTGAACAGCTGCAAGGCAAACCCCTGCTTGTGGCTGGGGGTGGCAGACAACTACCCAGAACGGGCGGATTTAGGCCGGCCGTCTTCTGGGTCTTCCGGAAGACGGTCAGATTTTCAAGTTTACATTGACGGGTATCTAATTTTTTCTGTCGGAAGACGGTCAAAAATGAACAACGGATCAACAAAGATAATTTGGAAGACTGTCAGAAAATATCTCTGAATCCGCCCCTGCAGAAGAAATGACGCCAAGGCATCATCGCACTCAACATTATTATGACCATGGTCATCATTTCCCTTGTATTTTTAGTTTGTTTCAATAGAAGATACGTAAATGTGAAAAGCATATTCAAAAGCTCTTTTATTGAATATTTTGTTCCAGTGAATCACTATCTTTATCAGTAATAGAACTGTATTATAAACATTCTGAGAAATGTATTTTCAAGGCAATTGACTACGTTGAAAATATTGGAGATATTGATTTTGTGTAGACTCTTCTTTATTATCGTTGTTTATGATAAGATATTTTCTTTTAGAACCAGTAAGCTGGTTAAACTGCATTTTGATTGGGTTCAGTCAATCATGAAATTGCCCTAATAAATTAAATTGATTTTTTTCAGTAGCTTTTCTGTCTTGACACTATCAACAAAACATATAAAAACACTTATTTGAAACCAATAGGACATATGATATAAGAATACAATAAGGAACCTTAGCCACAATTTACATTACATTGTGTAAAAAAAAAGTTCAAAAATAGGTTTTATTAAAAGACTATTATGAATTTAGGGCATCTTAGTTTTCCCATTCCCTGACTGTGCAAGTATCTTCTATTCTTCTATTCTCATTTTTAAATGATTTTATCTGAAAATATTGTCATAAAAAGGCTTCTCATGGTTGTTTGAAGGTGGGTTTTGCTTTTGTTATGAAAGACGTACCAGTTATTAATTTTGTAGGAGACCTGTAATATGTATAGACACCACATCAGCCCTAAGAAAGGGTCAGTTTCCACAATCCAAACATCAATAGAATTCGTCGTTTGCCGAATTATAAAATAAAAATTGCCTCGGCTACCATTTTGTACCCAACAAGTAGTAATGAAAACATTGTTTAATAATTCAGTTTTACCACCATATGTCTCTTCCTATGATAAAACACTACACATTGACCTTTTGAATCATCAAAGATTGAAATAATGTGATGATCAGGGGCGGATCCAGAGATATTTTCTGACAGCCTTCCACATTATCTTTGTTGATCCATCCTCCATTTTTTGACCGTCTTCGGACAGAAAAAATTAGGTACTCATCAATGTAAACTTAAGAATTTGACCATCTTCCGGAAGACCCAGAAGACAGCCTCAATCCGCCCCTGATGATGCAGTGTTGAATGTGACAGAAGAAAAATATGCCATCGATTTGAAGCATATGGACATCATCTAGGTTTGCTCCCATGGGGTAGCAGCCCTGGGAATGGCTATTTATATGAGTTATAATGAAGTGATTGGTGTCCTCACGCATTGGTCATGTTTTAGATAATCATCTTAAAAGGAAAAGAAATGTACTTTACTTTCATATGGATCAACTTTGAAAATGCCTGGACTTCATTCGGCCAGGACTCTGGGCTGTCACCGGGTGGACAAGATGGTTAAAAATCAGGAATTGATTGAAGCCGAATGAGATTATTTACCGACATTCTTTTTCATCTCTGATAAAATATCACTGTTACTGACCACTGAATACATTTATTTGATGGGCAAAAGGGAAGGATTTCTTTTAAACCTGAGCAGATTAACTCTGTAGTTGTTATGTGGCCTGTCTTATCAACAGATATGCATACACTTTTATTCCTACATGGCATATATAATCAGCCTGCAACGTTAACACTAGTCTCAAGCCAAATGCCAGTGAATTTGAATATGTGCCAGTAAAATAAATTTGTTCTGTTACTTGCCCCTATATCTGATTTGCCCAGCCAGTAGATTTTTAATTCATGGTGTTGTCAAGGGCCAATAAACTTTAATTTTTTGAGCACAGACTGGGCATAATTGGTCTTATCTAGTGCTTACATATATGTAGTTTTAGCTATACCGGATAGTCTGTGTAGTAATATATATAATATAGAGGGAAGATAGGGTAGGTTTATGTTGTTTGAATAAAATCTAATGTTTTACATTGGTGTTTTTTTTAATCTGAGCTATTTGTTGCCCATCAGACATCACTGCTACTGATTTCATTTACCCAACGCTTTTAACTTGTGACATTCAATTTCAAATGAATGAAGATAACAAACTTAATCCTCTCTATCGATCACATAGTTTTATTGCAGTCCTGGGAAGTTAATTTGTCAGGCATGAAGGCAATTCATCAGTAAATTGTCATTCAAAAATCAGCAACCATTACGAGCGTCATTGTTTAGTTGCCTTGATTTATTGATACCCTCAGTTATTTTTCAGTGTCTTAACATAAAAATGTTTCATTACTTTTTACTTTTTTTAATGAAGACTGGTGGATGTCTTTTTGCATGCTGCTTTTCTAAGAGCTATGAAAGGGCTATTGAAACACTGCCTACACACTTAATATTGAATGACAAGACTTATTTTCATCCATTTCAAGTTAAAAGCCTGCCGTTAACCCAGGTAAGGGTTACACTGGCAAGTACTTATCCTTGGTTTCTGTTTAACCAAACCTCCTGCATAGATTACTTGTCTATCCCAGGATACCAGTCTATAGCCAGTGCATAACAGGCTACTCCCCAACATTTATTGTGACATGTTTTGATGCATCTCACCTAAGAGAGGAAGGAAGCAGGTGTGAAATGTCTTGCCCCATGGCATAGTGTTTGAAGGTTTAACTGCAGCAGCAGATTAAAGAAAAAAAAAAGAGGCTTAGCATATCTCAGATGATTGTAGGAGTTTCCCATTTTCCCTCAGTCTAGTTTTCTAGGTGTGCACGTTTCTTTAAACGTGTGCAGAAACATGGATTATTAAGAATTTTTTTCATGCGTGTTTTCTATTTTCTAAATTGCTTAATTATTCTAGGTGAAATATTGTATTGAAAGTCTTAACATAAAGCTTGTCATATCTTCTTTAAAGGTGTTTTAGCCAACAGAGCCAATTAAATAACTTGTGGGATCTGTATTCCACTATAAAAAAGATATATGAAACAACAAAAAGACACAGATAACTTATATTATAATTAATATTCTAACTAAACATAAATTGTATGTTTTCTCACTGTTGCTGTTTAAATGAGAACAAAACCTTTTGAGATATGTCCTCTAGCCAGTTAGCCTGCAGATTGCCATTTGCCAAATTTTTACTGGAAAACTGAAGAGTATAAGTACAAAATGAAGAAAACAATGTTGGAAGAAATTTTTGAAAATTAACATGAAAATTTAATTTGACATACTTTTATTTGAAATGTATAATAAGGCACAGAGAAATGCCCTCAGAACTATGCAATGTTGTGTCAGGATCTAGTGAGAGAAAAGGTAGAGCTAATTCTTATTATAATGATCGAGTTGTGGTTAGCTAATGCAGTCAGTGAAAAGTCGCTACTTTAAACTGTCCCAGGATGAAAACAAACGTATTCCTTGAAGTATTCTTTTAACATGGGTAGATTGTGTTGACACATTTTTTCTTTACTCAGCTTACCTTAAATAGTTTCATTAATCTTTGTACAGGTATACATGACTGTGTGAATGTTTTTTCTCATTTTTGATATAATATGGTTTAAAATTGTGATAACAGACCACCTTTTAAAAAACATACTTTTAAATAAAATTGACTGATGCCCCCCCCCCCCCCCCCCCCCCAAAAAA